CTACACTGCAGGGCACTGCCAATTTAATTAAAATACAGTACCTTCCCTTGGAAAAGAAGTATAGATTCACATGCCTGCACATCATGCAAGATCAAATAAAAGTTATCCCAAATGTATACAATCAAACTGATATTACTGTGAACTGCTTATCTTGTCAAGGATGGAATTGTATCCTTAGATACAAAAGGAAGTCGGCCATTTGAAAAAACATGTGGAATGTTGATAATTCATTTCAAATAATAAGATCATTGACACCCACTGCTGGCTTCACTAAAAAGGTCAGTTCTCAACACCCGGTGTGGAGGATAAAAAGGACTGATTGGGGTTTTGTGTGTGGTCCTGCATCTTCTGACACCAGGTGTGACATGGTGGTTCTTGTAGCAACGAATAAATCAGTTCCATCATCACCACAATATAAATGTCAGTCAACATTTTATGAATGCAAACAAACCAACAACAGAAAAGTATCACCAAACCAAATAACTTTTTAATTTTTTTAAAAACAGTACTTCATAACTCATACAAAGGTATGAGTTATGAATATATATTCATAATATATGAATGACATAACATATATGACTATATATTCATATGCACACTATGTATTGAGATTCTCCTTTTCTCACAACAGAAATTAAAGACGAACAAAAACTTGCAAAAGTATTTTTATTTTTTAAAAATCCAATTGTTTCGATTAAAGTAAATAAATGGCATAAAGTAAACAAAGTATCTATGCTTTGTGCTCAGTAGCAGTGCGTGAGGCAAACCAGATGCTGGGCTGTATTAAAAGGGCAATATTGAGCCGAAATAGTGGGGTCATCCTGCCATATTATAAATTACTGGCACGACTGCACTTGGAATACTGTGTGCAGTTCTGGTCACCACAATATAAAAAGGATTTTGCAACAATTGAGAGGATACAGAGGAGGGCAACCAAAATGATTGAGGGGATGGAGGGACTGGACAATCAGGATTGGTTAAACTGGGCATGTTCATACTGGAGAAGAAAAGGTTGAGGGGTGATATGATTGTGGTTTTTAAGATTCTGAGGGGAATAGATAATGTAGACCATGATAAGCTGGTTTATCTTGTACTGAACAGTAGAACTAGAGGACACAGCTTGCGATTGAAGTGGGGTAAATTCAGAACAAATCTGGGGAAACACAACGTCAGTGAGCAAGTTGTACATTTATGGAACAGTGGAAGCAGAAAATGTCATTTGTTTCAAGAACAAATTAGATAGGTTTCTGTTAGAAAATAATATCTCAGGATACAGTATATAGTTTGGGACACAACATGTCAAGCGACTGCCAGATGGTGGAAGGCAAACTAGATGGACCGTGGTTTTCTTTCGCCTAACAAATTCTTATGTTCTTATATGGACCTTGTTGTTTTTTTTTTCTACCTTCTGAAAATGTTTGATGTCCAAAATGTTTTCAGGAGAGGCTGGAGAAGCTAGGATTATTCTTCTTGGAGCAGAGAAAGTTATTATAAAAAGAGAAGACTTAATAGAAGTTTTCAAAACTATGAGGGGATTCGATAAGGTGAACAAAGAGAAATTATTTCCACTGGCGGGTGGGTGGATAACTGGAGGATACCGATTTAAAATAGTTGTTAAAAGAAACAGGGGAGGTGAGAATTTTTTTCACACAGCGAGTTGTTCGAATCTGGAATGCATTGCCTGAAAGGGTAGTGGAAGCTGATTCGATAACAGCTTCTAAGAGAGAAGTAGATAATTATTTGGGGAGGACAAGTTTGCAGTCTATAGGGAGAAAACAGGGAAATGGAATTGAATTGGATAGCTCTTTTCAAAGAGCCGGCACAGACATGATGGATCGAATGGCCTCCTTCGGTGCTGTAAAATTGTATGATTCCACCATATAGTATACTGCACCACAACATTTGCAGATATATGTGAGCTGCGGAGAAAAAAAACTGAGCTTTTTAAGAGTCGAAGCTCGATCAAGTTCACAACACTGGAGTGAAATATTGTGTTTTTCATGGCATTTCAGAGTAACTTGCATTGTATTGTTCCAGTGCCTTGGGACGTCCTCCCGACGTGAAAGGCGCTTTACAAATGTAATTTTGTTGTTGCATTGGAATAAGTACAAAAGTATCACTCCCACTCTCACCCGACTGGCTCCCCATCCCCCAGAGGATCGAGTTCAAGATCCTCGTCCTCACCTTTAAGGCCATCCATGGCCTTGCCCCTCCTACCTCTCTGACCTACTGACTCCCTACCAACCTGCCCACTCTCTCCGTTAATCAGGCTTTGGTCTGCTCCATGTCTCCCGCCCGAACCGCCCTACCATCGCTAGCCGGGCTTTCAGCCTCTCTACCCACACACTCTGGAACTCCATCCCACGATCGCTTCGCCTCACTTCCTCCCTTGCATCCTTCAAGGCCAGCCTCAAGACCCTTCTCTTCGACCGTGCCTTTGGTCTCTCTCCCACCTCTGCCTTCCCATCACTCCTACACCACCCCTCCCCCATGCTCGGGCCCCGACATCTGACTGCTCAGCGCTTTGGGACGTCCTCCCGACATGAAAGGCGCTCTACAAATATAATTTTTTGTTGTTGTTGTATTGGAATAAATACAGAAGCATGCTCCCTAATGCAAACTTGGAAATGAATATGGGCCAGAAAAAAGACACAATTTTAGCGACATCCACAATTTATTATATGCAAACAGTACAAATCAAGAAACAGAAGAAAATTTCAACTGATAAATATACTAAAATGTGCTGTTTTCTTCTTAAAGATATTAAACAGCTATGCTTTACAGATCTTTGCCACTAGGCCACCACAAACATTTTGTACTATAAGAAATGTTGCCTTATATGTAAATTCAATGCACGCGCACACAAAATGTATTTTATTTGCTGGTCAGGAAAGTCAAGTTATCCAAAAAAAATTGCCCTTTTAAAAAAAACTACTGTGTAAATCAGGCAAAATATTTCAGTACTTAAAACTGTCCAGTTGTCTGCAAACCTGTTATCATTATGAAAAAAGTGTTGAATTTAAAGCAGCCTACTGGTGTTATTAAACAGCAAACTTAGCACCAAACTAATATACAGCAGCCTATGACACGAATGATAGAATTGAAAATACATCCGTGTAACACTCCTGCAAATCTAGGTCTGGTGTTTAGCAAATTGCAAAGAATATTCACAATTATTACCTGTAACAAAAACAGCACCACAATAATGATTTAATTCCCTAATAAATACACGGCTAAATATTTTATACAAAGCAAGCAAAACTGAAATATACATTTACCAAAAAGTTCACGCAATAAAACTAAACTAAATGCACACAGAATACAGAACAGTTACCACTATCATTTAAAATAAATTTGAAGTACTTTAGATTCATCTCCTTTATACAATGGAACAAAATTGATTTCAAGTTAACTCTCTACAATACTCAATATAGTATGTAAGAAGCATTTTGCTTATATAAAAAAGTACTTTGTATATTTTAATGGAACAGGTATTTTGATTCCCTTCAACATTTGATAGAAAAATATTTCAACTTTTTTTAAAATCTGGGTAGAACTAAAAACGTTGTCCAATTAAAATACTGAATAAGGTCTTAAAAAGAGGAGGTAACTAGAGGGTTACATTTTGTTCAAAGCATTCTCAATTTTATGNAAAAAAACAACGGACGCAGAAGAATTAATTATTTTTATTTTGAAAACATTATAATTTCCTTATCTGCATGGAGTCTCAAGTCGGGTCTTCCTGCCAGTAAAGACAAAAGAAAATTGTCTATACTGAAATAAAAACACAAATGCTAGAAATCATAGGAGTCAATCATCATCAGGAAGTAAATGACCAGCTACTGACCCTTCCTCTTTCTCTCAAAGTTGCTGGAATCAGTCGTCATCAACCAGAACTCCCTCCTTGAACCCCAACAACGTATGTCTGCCTGTCCCCACAGCACTGAGACTGCCCTGGTCAACGACAACAACTTGTGCTTATATAATGCCCTTCGCGCAGGGTAGAGTCTCAGTCAAAGTCACCTATGCCATGCTCTCCATCTGCGCCTGGGGCTCTCTCTGCCTCTTTATTCTTCTTGACAGGTGGAGTCCTGTAGCTCAGTGTTTAGAGCACTCGCTTTGCAAGCGAGAGACCCGAGTTCAATTCCAGGCAGGGCGAAACCTTGGGCAAGTTTCCTTACTCCACACACCTAATAATAATCCCTCCAAAACAAAACAATAATAAATTGGTCATTTTCAATCTACGACTGTTTGTGGGACATTGCTGTGCGCAATTGCCTGCCGCCTTCGCCCACAAATATACAGTCAATTCACTTTACAGTGTGTTCTGTGAAGCGCTTTGGGACGTCCTCCCGACGTGAAAAGCGCTATATCAAATGCAAGGATTATTATTATTATTGACCCCTCCACTCCCCATTGATGAAATCATCTGTACATACGGAGCCTACTTCCATGTATACAAATGTAATTTGTGGTTGTTGAATACGGATGACACTCAACATCGCATCCAAAGGACAGCACTTCCCTACAGTGGACTGGAGTGTCAGTCTAGACTGTCAGTCACCTCAGAATCCCGATGTTGGGCTTCAAGCAACAACTGTCTGACTCAGAGGCGAGAGTACTGAGCGTACTGCTACTGAGATGGGTAGGCGCTACATAATGTGCCATCAGTTCTCTATCTAATTGGTTCGAACAATACCCCTTACTGTTTCATATAAAGTAGCTCTGGGATGCATGGAGACAATTGCATTTCTTGATATCACTGCAGCGTTTAGTAATGAAGGAGACCCAACTCAAGGGCCTCAATACCAGCATGAAAATGTATCTTTTTAACAACATGTTAATCAGAATTCCTTGTGATTAATACTTTTCTATATAAAGTGAGAGAATGCCACTGACAAAAATGTAATCATTCAGACTTCCATTGCCCTTCAATGATGTTTACAAACAACCCATTAATTTAGTTTTTTTTAAAAAAAGCAAATACAATATCTGACACATAATGAGTGATTTGGCATTTATTTGTTGAATGTCACTAACACATTTAGCAATTATTCACATACATATAACTGACAGGAAGAAGATAAGGTTTCATAGTTAATATGTAAAGATGCAGTACAATTGCTACAGATATCCAAACAGGGCTATTTCCCTTTTATTAACCTTTACCACTCAAGTAGAAGTTGATGCTGTGTTTTCTGCAATCAGATCATTAAAGAGCAGTTTCCGTAGAATGCCAGAGTAAAATGGCCCATACACCTGTATATTATATTTGACAATGGAGGCATACTGAGATCCAATCTCCTCCAGTTCAGCTTGAATGGGTGCAAGGCCTCCCAGAACAACTGAAGCACTCTTCTGTGCACTTGATGCACTGATCAGGTTTTTTATATACAACTCAATTCGGTTATCTAAAGGTTAAAGAAAGTATTTAAAGTATATATAGTCCGGAAGTACAGCATGTCGCACCATGATAATAATAATAATAATCCTTGCATTTGATATAGCGCTTTTCATGTCAGGAGGACGTCCCAAAGCGCTTCACAGAACACACTGTAAAGTGAATTGACTGTATATTTGTGGGCGAACGCGGCAGCCAATTGCGCACAGCAATGTCCCACAGTCATGGATTGAAAATGACCAATTTATTATTGTTTTTGGTTTTGGAGGGATTATTATATTATTAGGCGTGTGGAGTAAGGAAACCTGCCCAAGGTTTCGCCCTGCCTGGAATTGAACTCAGGTCCCTCGCTTGCAAAGCGAGTGCTCTAACCACTGAGCTTCAGGACTCCACAATCAATTATAATGCAAAATTTGCAAGCAATTTTAAGTTGGGTTGTGTAACAACAACTTGCAGTTATATAAGCACCCTCCACGCAGGGTAGCGTCTCAAGAGCGTTCAACAGTGGTGGAGCCTGACTCCGAACTGGGTGTGGGTGGGGAGGTGGCCATAAGCATGGTTGAAGAGGAAGGTTTACTGGTGGGACTTGAAAAAGGGGAGAGAGGGGGCAAGGCAGTGGGATTGAGGGAGAGTGTTCCAAAGTTTCGGGGAGTAGTAGCTGCAAGTGCCACCTCCAATGGTAGGGCTGAGGGTGCGAGGGATGAGCAGGAGAAGAGTACCAGTCAAGTGGAGGCGCCGGGTGGTGGATTAGGGAGTGAGGAGGTCGGAGAGGCAGGGAGGTGCCAGAGAGTGAATGGATTTGGACATGAGTGTAGGGATCTTGAAGTCGATCCGTTCGTTGATGGGGGGGCAATGGAGCCTGGCCAGAACTGGCGGCCAGAAGAAGCATATAGATAAGGAAAAGAAGAGGAGCAAGGTTAGAGCCCGGGGTACCCCTCAGGTGACCAGACGGGGGCAGGAGGAGAAACCATTTGCCGAAATGAAGTGGAAGCAGTTGGTTAAGTAGGATTCGAACCATGCAAGTGTGGTCCCACTAAGATGGATGAGGGAGGAGAGGCAAAGGAAAAGGATGGTGTGGTCAACTGTGTTGAACGTGGCAGAGAGATCCAGGATGATGAGGAGGCAGAAGGAGCCCTGGTCACAGAGAGAGGAAGTTTTTTGTGACTTTGACAGGTGTGAGCGAAGTAGACCTGCAACAATGTGTTCCAGGAGAAATGGCAAGGAAGGGAAGATTGGAGATGGGATGATAGGGGTTTGAGGATGGGTTTTTTGAGGAAGGGTGTGATGACAGTGGTTTTCAGGGGGAGTGGAACAGAGCCTGAGGATAGAGACTGGTTGACTGTTGGCCAGAACGGGGGAAGAGAAGGTGAGTGAGAAGCAGCTGGGTGGGGAGGGGATCAAGGCAGCAGGTGATGAACTTCATCCAGGTGTTTGTGGTTGGGAGGGAGGGAGAAATGGGAGCAAAGGAGTGTAAGGAGGGGGTAGCAGCAGGAGCCATGACGGAGGGAGAAGGCAGTGTGGATGGTCTGGGTGAGGTGGAAGGGGACATGGGGGGAAACGATGCAGCGATTGAATGTTTTCAATCTTTGAGGTGAAGAAGTCTAGGACCTCTTCATAATTGGTGTTTGATGTGAGGATAGAGAAGTTTGAGGGGGTGCACGGAGGGGGTGATGGACGGTGGAAAACAGCATCTTTGGATTGTTGTTTGCTTCCAAGATGACTGTTACAATTAAGAGGAACTTATTATAAGCGTCTTGATGCACACAGATTTTAGGCTCCTCCAGAATTTGCATTTAACAAGTATCCTTTTGCTGCCCCAAAGGTCTTCAAACTATTTTAGCTTTAACTGTGGACATTTATAGCACATTAGACTTAATGCACATTGGACTTAATGTGCTTGCCTGCCTCCATCTGCATCTCAAAACCGACTCACTCACACGAAACTCCGTACCCCCACCACATCAGTCCTTGCCAGGCTCCACTGGATCCCACTCACCTTACGGATCGATTTCAAGATCCTCTCACTCGTTTTCACATCACTTCATTCCTTTGCACCTCCTTACCTATCCAACCTACTTACCCCACAACCCCCCCTCCTACTCCACCACCCGCTACCACCACTCGACTGGCTCCCGCCTCCTAATTGTCCCTCGTGCCCTTCACTCCACCATCAGTGGCCGTGCCTTCCGCCACTACACCCTGAAAATCTGGAACTCTCCCTCAATCCCGCCGCTTCGCCCCCACCTTCAAATCCCTCCTAAAGACCTTCCTTTTTGATCGTGCTTATATGATCACCTCTACTCCCTCGCCCCTTGGCTCGTTGACAGACTCTGCCAATGTGAAGCTCTCTGGGATGCTACCCCATGTGAAGGGCGCAATATAAATGCAAGTTGACAAAACTGACACATGGTAGGACAGATCTATAGTGCTAAATGTAAGACATTTGTGACATGAAATTAGTATATAAAAACAATTGTTACAAGGGACAATATGATTTTGAGATAACAGATTTTGAGATAATTTTGAGATTTTGAGATAATTGGACCAAGCACATTTTGGCTTCGAAAACAGAGCATATTCATAGTAGACATTAAATTAACTGAATATTAAGCACTAAATTAAGAAATTCTAAGTCTACTAGTACTCACTGATCAGGTTGCGGACAGAGTTGTTTTCTTGATTGATGCTGCAGATTTGTCCAGTGAGATTGATTTGACTGTCAGCGCTAAGTGCAGGGTAACCTCGTTCAGTCAAGGATGTGTTTATTTCAGAACAGACCTTTACACTTATATTCATAAGTGTTTCTTCCATATTGAAAGTTCTTCGCAATATTACCAAAAATGTAACAATAGCAATTAAATTAGGCTAGTGATAAATATGTAGACAGATATCAAAAAAATTAAAAAATGACAGCAATATATATTGCATATCACTCATTTTAAGATTTTAATAATAATAATCCTTGCATTTCATATAGTGTGTTGGGGCGTTCTCCCGATGTGAAAGGCGCTTTACAAATGTAATCTTGTTGTTATCACATCTTGGAGGCATTTCAAAGCGCTTCACAGAATACACTGTAAAATGGAATGACTGTATATTTTGTGGGCGAAACGGGCCAGCCAATTGCGCACAGCAGTTTCCCCCAGTATATTTATAGTTATATACGTTGGGGATGAGGACATTGGATACAATATTTATTCAATGGGTGGACAGGGAAAGATCCAGTAGTCAGGGGTCTAGAACTAAAGGGCATAGTTTTAAAATCATAACTGGGAGATCCAGAATGGAGATTATGAAGAAAGTTTTCACATAGAGAATGATGGGAGAGTGGAATTGTCTACCACAGTCAGTTGTTGGGCAGCAATCTTGTGCACATTCAAAAAAGATTGGACTCACAGTTAAGGGAGAATAAAGTTAAGGGATACAGGGAAAGGGGAGAATATGGGACTCGGGTAGGATCTAGGCTGGGCACTCTTGTGGAGTACAAACACTCGCTGGACTGGATGGGCCAAATGGCCTGTTCTGCACTGTACTTTCTATGAATCCTAGTCATAAGGCAAATCCAAAGTGTTATCCAGTCAAGTTCTGCCAGTGGATAAATTCAAGAAGAAAAATTCAACATTTTTTTTGTCAGCCACATAACATTTTGCCAACTTCTCATCCTTACCCTCAATCCAAACATATTTTTAATTTTATTAACTCCTTACACTTAGTGCTGTATTGGGTAGAAGAAAAGTGATCAAACTCACTTGCTTTGCATGCCATCAAGTAGGACATTAATAACGGTTTTCAATTCATCTGCAAACCCTGGGAGGCCTGAAATGGTTGCCCCCACCATGTTATATATTATTAGCATCAGGGTGGCCACCAGTCTTTGTTCGTTCAGCCTTTGTTGCAGTTCTTGGAGTCGTGACTCATCACTCAGCAAAGTCTAACAACAAAATTAAGATAATTTAAATGCCATGAGACTTTATGCCTTGAAGAACACAACTTTGTCCTGGGGATCTGTAACTTTGCATCTACAACAGCTTGCATTTATTTAAAAGCTGTAAATATAAACCCCCCTGCACTGTAAGATCTAATATCTGTATTTCGTATAACATAGGAAAAGGTTTCCATTCTGAAAAATGGACTGTGACTCAGTCTTGCACAATAATTAAATCATTTACCTCAGGCAATGGTTTCTTCTCGAAGTCCCATTGTAGTAGTTTCACATAACCATTGTTTAGCACTAAGGATGGACTTAGGGCAAGATTAGGATTCCTGCCAGTACCAGTGGGTGATGGGTCTGAAGAAGACATTGAGGCTGAAACTTCAGCAATACATTCTTTAAGCCAAAGAGTTGTGTAATCAAGAGCATCTATGAATACAAGCATTGTGATAATTGTGAGGTTGTTTTTAACAAAAGAACAATATTCTCTAATACAGCTACTATGATGCACTCATCTAATGTTGTAAACCTATACAGAAACAACAGGTACACATTACACAACAAATAGGCCTAAAGAAATACAACCCATTCAAAATAAAATTTAAAAAATGGTCTTGTGATAATATTCAGCAGCTGTAAATAAAGAATCACATAGTTTTGTTATTCCACATAAGGTTATGACTAAATCGAAACAGCAAATTAGTTGAAATTCTGGTCTTTTTTTGGAGGGGATTGTTTTGTTTATTTTTGTTCTTGTATTTTGTTTTCTTCAAAACATATAATTAATCTGTTACTGCAGCCAGGTTCTGTTTTGTTTTCTGATTTTTGTGTGTATGTTTGGTATTAAAGTAAAAATATTCCAAATCTCACTTTTGAGAAATTAGGCAGCTTTTTGCTGAGCAGTGTGTTCAAACATCTAAGTCTTCACCTTTATAATGTTGAAATCAGGCAAATACATAAAAATAATCATACTTGCATTTGATACAGCACTTTTCACGTCTTCTAGACATCTCAAAGCGCTTCACAGAATATACTGTAAAGTGAATTGACAGTATATTTGTGAGCTAAAAACGGCTGCCAATTGTGCACAGCAGTGTCCCACAAACAGTCGTGGATTGAGTGACCAAATTATTATTTTTTTGGAAGATTATCATCCCCGGAAAAGCGATCCGCCAATCAACTGACAAACGGGTTCCTACTTACTGCTCGGTAAACTGAGGCGTATGGAGTAAGGAAACTTGCCCAACATTTTGCTCTGTCTGGAATAGAACCAAGTCTCTCGCTTGCGAGCCGAGTGCTCTAACCACTGAGCTACAAGACTCCACATACATAAACTACATATACAAATCTAGGCAGAACTTACTGGGCTGCTTGTTAAGAAAATCCTGGAACTTGCTGCGTTCATATCCCACAGAACATTGCTGGACGTGTGGCCTGATATTTTGAATAGTGAAGTTGATCAGGTCCATCGTCATCAAATCAAGAACATGAAAAATATCTCTTAATAAAGAAATACAGTAGGTGTTAAAAGAAAACTGATTTCGCAGTTTCATTGGAGAAATACCTAACGTGAAATGTAATTAAAAACACAAAAAGGTTCCCCAACAACCCTTCATTACAACTTTCATAAAAAGTCTGTTCTGTGATTTTATCATTCAGAGGAGAACAAACTTCAATTTGGCAGAAATATTTTTTTGTGACACCAGTCAAACAAAAGACTAACTTACCTGAACAGTGGTACTGGTTCAAACAGTGATTTTAATTTCTTCACATCATCATCCCGTACTGGGGCGCACAGTTTTCCCATTATGGTAACAACATAATCAGCCAGTTTATGGAGGTCAATAGCATTATTCTCAGCCTCCTGTCTGATTAGATCCAAATCCAGGACCTCACAGATCTGGTTCCGGAGTCGGTTTTGACCAGGTATGAAAAATGAGAGTAGGATCTGAAAAAAAGGAACATTTTTCACAAGTATACAACATGTGAACAAAGACAGTGTTTTACTGACTGGTGTTAAATACGCAGCCAGAATAATCAAGGCATTAAATTGCAAATTCCACGTGCACCACTTTTTTAGTTGTTTCTGTTGCAGAAGTACAGTGGGGAAAGGTTGCAGGGGAATTACAGCAGGTGAGGATGAGAATCTTAAAGTTGACCTACTGAGGGATGGGGAGCTAGTGGAACCAGGTGAGGATGCGGTGGGTGGGGGGGGAGAGGGGTTGATGGGCTTGCTAAGCCTATTGTCAGAGGGAAGGTGGGCTGTAGAGGTCTGAATGATCTGGAGCTTGTGGAGGCTGGAGCTGGGGAGGCTGATGAGCAAGGATTTAAAAAGTCAAGTGTGAAGGTGACAAACCATTTTGGCTGTGCTGGAAATGAAGTGGCAATTGAGGCGGGCAGTGTTAACGAGTTGGAGGAAAGCAGGCTGGGTTAGAGCTCAGATGAAATGCTCGAAGGAGAGTTGAACAAAATGCTTTGGTTCTGGACTGACTCTGTGAGCTGGAGTGAATAATTGGGGAAGTAGATACATATGGTCAGCAATTGAGTTGAGGAGGTACTGGTGGGAGGCAGAAAGATAGCCTCAGTTTTACTAATGCTGAGAAAGTTGCATTCATCCAGGACTTGATGTCTGTCAAGTAGTTCTGGAATCGAGGAGATTAAGTGTTGGTTGTATTCTGTGTACAAATGGAAATGCTTAGAGAGTACATCACCAAGGGCAAACACTCAGATGAGGAAAAATGAGAGAACAAAGGATATAACCCTGATGAATACTGCAAGTGTAGAAGTAGGAGGAAATGCTAGAGAATACATAGTGACAAGTGTTAAACCCAACACTGCCAAAAATCTCATTTGTAAGTTAGTTTATTCATAATAATAATAATCTTCATTGTAATTGTTATAGGGCCTTTCATGTCAGGGCGATGTCCCAAAACACTTCACAGGATGTAAAGTGGTGTGACTATTTTGTGTGCAAACACACCACCATCAATAAAAGATCGAGGTGTTCAGTCTATATTCAAATAAATTGTAAATTTATATAATAGACGTTTTTGTTGATTTTACTATAGTTAGCAAAGGATTCATTATGTTCATTCAACTGACATACAAGATTCTTAGTTACCACTGTCAAAACAGGAATGACTCTTACATAGCAGGCTGATCTGAGGATGTGAATGAAGAACGTGAATGCACAACGTACAGAAGGCACTCACTAGAATGAAGCTTTTAAAAAGGTAGGAAATTTCCCTTCCTTTATCTAGCAGCTTCCGCCCCCAACTGAAAATTAAACTCGTGTCTCTGAAAATGAAAATTTGAGACACACGTAATCTACTCAAAGTAGAATCCACTACTAGATAAGGTCAAGGTTAAGTCCATAATATTTTATGAATGCAATGGCATTGCACTAAGAGGCTGATTTTTTGGTCTAGAGACGAGGCAGTGATCGATTGATCAACTGATCGGTCGGTCGATTGGCCGATTGATTGTTCGATCAATCAATCAATTAAGTGATTAAACCTTCATTTTGTTGGAATATTTCTTGCCAGTGAGGCTGTTACAATGTAAAATACATTTCACTAATTAACTGATAACTTTAAAACTTGTCAACCTTATTGCTGCAGCTTCCAGAATACTCTGTTGAGATAATGGTACTATTGTGGATACTTATGCAGAGTAGAACTTTTCCCCAAATTTGACATTTTTAATTTGTAGAAAGGACAAGCAACATTCTGAAAAAATACATTAACAATGAAAATAGTGAACAGGAATGTCACAAAGTCTTAAGGGTATTGCTTCAATTACTCTCTTTATCCTAATCCATCCCACAACCCAGTACGAAAGAAAAAAAAATAATAATCCTTGAATTTGATATAGTGCCTTATCACATCATTTCAAACCACTTCTCAGAATATAATGTTAAATGAATTGACTGTATATTTTGTGGACGAAATGCGACAAGTAGATACATCAAACCAACCAAATTAAAAAAATTAGAAAAATGGTACAAAGTAAATTACCTGAGTGATAATCAGAAATCCAGAAGCTGGAGTACGACTCCCTTACCTCTTTTATTTCTCCCAAAAGTAAGAGGGCATGACCGTACTCAGGAGGATCCTGATTCAATTCAGCTTCCAGGCAATCCCAAAATGCTTTGTGAACTATCTCCTTCACTCTCCTCTCTAAACTGTATAAAATTAATCATTTCAGTTGGATTCTTAATTTTGAATACTGCAATAGTATTTTTGCAACACAGACATTCTGCATGTGAAGAATGCTAGGAAGATTCAATACAAATGTGCCAACTTTCACCAATTTATAAATTATACAACACACAAAAAAATTCTACTCTTTAAAATCTATAATTTAGCCAGTCTTCAGACAAATCAAGGTTATTTCCATATTGCAGAACCAGAATAACATTGATACTCACAATTAAAATGACTTATTATTAAAATAATTACGTTTTGCGTTTTAATGGAAGAGCTACAAAATAAAGTTCTATTTATTCACAATGCCTGTTAATTTGATTTATTAGTTCATTCAGTGAATGAAAATAATTCCAAGGAACACATTGAAGAAATGGAAGAACCTACTTAAGGAATTATTGTTACCTGTATGGAAATTCAAAGACTTGTAAAATTCAGCAACTTTTTTGTGTTTGTGATTTGTGTGAGAAAACAGTTCTCACACAAATCAATGCCACAGTATCAGAGGAGAGGGTAGAGAAATTGGAATAGGATAGGAATAAATAGAGAGGAGGTACTAAAAAGGTTGTCAGTGCTCAAGGTAGATAAGTCACCCGGTCCGGACGAGATGCATCCTAGGTTACTGAGGGAAGTAAGGGTGGAAATAGCGGAGGCTCTGGCCCCAATCTTTCAATCCTCCTTGGACACCAGGGTGCCAGAGGATTGGAGGGTTGCAAATGTTACTCCCCTGTACAAAAAGGGGTAGAAGGATAAACCCAGGAACTACAGGCCAGTTAGCCTATTGTCAGTAGTAATAATAATAATAATCATCCTTGCATTTGATATAGCGCTTTTCACATCTTCTCAACATCTCAAAGCGCTTTACAGAAGACTGTAAAGTGAATTGACCATATATTTGTGGGTGAAACGCGGCAGCCAATTGCGCACAGCAGTGTTCCACAAACAGTCGTGGATTGAAAATGACCAATTTATTATTGTTTTGTTTTTGGAGGGATTATTATTAGGCGTGTGGAGTAAGGAAACTTGCCCAAGGTTTCACCCTTTGGTAGGGAAACTTCTAGAGACTACAATCCGGGACAAAATAATTTTTCACTTAGAAAAATATGGGTTAATAAAGGAGAATCAACACGGATTTGTTAAAGGCAAATCGTGTCAAACAAACCTGATAGNTTTTTTTGAGTATTGGCGAGGGTGGATGAAGTAGTGCAATAGATGCAGTTCACATGGATTTTCAAAAGGCATTTGATAAAGTGTTGCATAAGAGACTTGTAAGCAAAAGAGAAGCACACGGTATTAAATGGACAGTGGCAGCATGGATACAGAACTGGCTGGGAGACAGAAAGCAGAGAGTAGTGGTTTCTGACTGGAGTGTGCAGTGGTATCCCCCAGGGGTCGGTATTGGGACCACTGCTGTTTCTATAAATGACCTGGACTTGGGTATAGGGAGCACAATTTCCAAGTTTGGAAATAATACTAAGCTCGGAAAAGTAGTAAATGGTGAGGAGGATAATAGCAGACTGCAAATGCGAAGTGATATATTTTGGGAGGGAGAAGGGGGCGCAATATAAGCTGATGGTACATTCGTAAAGGGGGTGAAGGAACTGAGAGACCTGGATCATATAAATACATCTTTGAAGGTGGCAGGACAGGTACATAAAGCTGTTAAAAAAGCATACGGATACTAGGCTTTATAAATAGGGGCATAGAATACAAGAGTCAGGTAGTTATGATGAACCTTTATAAAACACTGGTTTTATAAAGGTTGTGTTCTATAAATGACCTGGACTTGGGTGTAGGGAGTATTGTGTTCAGTTCTGGTCACCACACTTTAGGAAGGATGTCAAGGCATTGGAGAGCGTGCAAAAGAGATTTACTACGATTGTACCAGGAATGAGGGACATCAGTTATCAGGAGAGGCTAGAGAAGCTAGGATTATTCTCCTTGGAGCAGAGAAGATTAAGAGAAGACTTAATAGAAGTTTTCAAAATTATGAGGGGATTTGATAGGGTGAACAAAGAGAAAGTATTTCCACTGGCGGGTGGGTCGGTAACCTGAGGACACTGATTTAAAATAGCTGTTAAAAGAAACAGAGGGGAGATGAGGAGAAATTTTTTCGCAGTGAGTTGTTCGGATCTGGAATGCATTGCCTGAAAGAGTGGTGGAAGCTGATTCAATAACAACTTTTAAGAGAAAAGTAGATAATTATTTGGGGAGGACAAGTTTGCAGTCTATGACGAGAGAGCAGGGGAGTAGGATTGATTTGGATAGCTCTTTTCAAAGAGCCGGCACAGACATGATGGGCCAAATGGCCTCCTGTGCTGTATAATTCTATGATTCAATGAAGCTCAGTGGCTTGGGTGGGGACAGTTTATTTTATACTGGATCAAATACCAGTATAATAAAATATACTGACACATTCCTGGATTGGAGGCCATTATGCAATTAAGATGGTGGTACATTTCTCACAAGAGTGAGAGACAAGAGTGTGATAGACAGAGTGCACAAGATGGAGCGAGCGAGACAGAGCACCCGTGCAAGACAGAGCGCGTGTGAGAGAGAGCTCACAAGCGGGCGCGGGCAAGAGGGAAAGAGAACGCGCGAGAGAGAACGCACACGCATGACAGAGGGAGAGCTCACGAACGGGAGCACATGCGAAAGAGTTCACGAGCGCGTGCAGACGAGAGCCACATGCGCACGAGACAGAGCTTATGAGCGGGGATGGGCAAGAGAACTAGAGTGTATGTGTGTGAGAGATTGAATGAGTGAGTGAGTGAGTAATGTGGAGCATCTTTTGCTTTGGCTCTAAAACTCTCCAAAAAGTAAAATATATGGATTGCACCAAGTTAGAAAGAGAAATAATGTTTATTTGGGGAGGACAAGTTTGCAGGGCAATGTGGAGAGCGCGGGGGTGTTATAGAATCATACAGCACAGAAAGAGGCCATTTGGCCCATCGTGCCTGTGCTGGCTCTTTGGAAAGAGCTATCCAAATCAATCCCACTCCCCCTGCAAACTTGTCCTCCCCAAATAATTATCTATTTCTTTCTTAAAAGTTATTATTGAATCAGCTTCCACCACCCGTTCAAGCAATGAAAGTGGAGTGGGATTGATTAGGATAGCTCTTTTGAAAGAGCCAGCACAGACACGATGGGCCGAACGGCCTCCTTCTGTGCTGTATAATTCTATGATGTCTCGCAGAGGTTTATCAAAATAGATCAGTACAAGGCCTAAGGCACAGTCATTAACAAAGAAAGCATTTATTTTGCAGTGCAATGAGGCCATGATCATCTAGTCAGCTCTAACCCGAAATTGTTAAGATATGATGATAGAATAAAAAAAACTACGGAGGCAAAGAAATTTGACATATAGCATCAAGACGACCCTCCTGCTTGGCTTCCGTTCAGCGCTTCCATACTCAGGCGCTGACAGCATCTCCCCCCATGGATGCACTCTACACCTCACGGAGCCAGTATGGAACCTCAGCATCCTTTTCGATCCTCAACTGGCCCCACATCCACAGCAACACCGCCTTTACCCACCTCCGCAACATCCCTCGGCTCCGCCAGTGTCTCACACTGCAGGCCGCTGAGACCCTCATACTTGCATTCATAACATCCAGAAAAAAAAATACAAAATACTGCAGATGGTGGAAATCTGAAACAAAAACAGAAGTCGCTGGGATCACTCAGCAGGTCAGGCAGCATCTATGGAGAAAGGAAAGTGAGTCAAGGAAAGTGGCTCCATGACCCTTCAACAGAACTGGGCCGTGTTCTATTGAAGGGTCATGGAACCCAAAATGTTGACTCACTTTCTTATTCCATAGAAGCTGCCTGACCTGCTGAGTGATCCTAGCGACTTCTGTTCATAACATCCAGGCTCAACGACACAAACTCCTTGCTTTATCGGCCTCCCCAACTCCTCCCTCCAGTACGTTGTAGATCATGCAGAACTCTGCAGCCCGTGTCCTCTCCCGCACCAGGCTCTACGACCCTATCACCCCCATCCTCGCCCGACTCCAATGGCTCCCCATTACACAGAGGATACAGTTCAAGATCCTGGTCCTCCCTTTCAAAGCCCTCCATGGCCTTGCTCCCCCCTAACCTCCTACCAACCTGCTGGCTCTCTCCCCAGGTCGGGTCCGAAACAGATTGTCCGGCACCTTGGGACTTCCTCCCGACGTGAAAGACACTATACAAATGTAATTTTTTGTTGTAAAAGGAGGAGGTAATTCTGCAGGAAAATTAATATTGGTGAAAAAATATTACCTACAAATCCATCAGCAAAGTGTTATCACACGAGTTTTTATTTTTTTCTACTATTCAAATAACAGTAAAGATGTGCCTGAAATCAGGAGAATTTACTCCCGACATTTCCATGATTATGCCACCATTGTTTGTATAATGGAGCTTACAAAAAAAATAGCATTAATCCATCGACGTCAAGATCATTGCCGAATCTACTCACTCTACACATCTCCAACTTTTCTTTATTGAGTCACATCTTCATCCTCTTGCACCATATACATTGTGAGAGAATGATGAAGAGGTTTAAAATGGCAAGGCAGACTGACATTAAAAGTAACATATTTATTAAATGGGAATGATCTAGAACATTTTTTTTTAACACTTGATCTGAGTCACTGAATATTGCAAAAATGGCAAACCAGAATTGTTATTGTCAAAATCAAAATCAGGTGACAAACTTATCATAGCAATTTTCTCATATCTTGGTGTATTTATTTTAAGCCCCAAAGCTGACAGATCAGCTAAACTCTCGGGCTCCATGTGAAAAAGTTGCGTCATGATCTCATCTTGAAGATAAATGCCTTATGCTTTAAGCTGAAAGCAAGTTAAACTTGGTGGTCACAAACAATTATCTCCGCTTTCCCAGCTGAAGGAATATGCCAAGACAAGAGCCCTTAAAAGACAGAGTGTTAAAAAGTCAATCTCAGTAATTTAATCATTACCTTTGTGGCGGAAGATCAACTGGTTTAATTTGAAAGTTGGCATTCATGACAATTTCATGAGCTAAAGTCATGTTTGACAAGCCTCTTGCAGTCTCCATCAGGTCATCAAAAGAAACTATTTTCGGAGGACTTGCTATAGTAACAAGAATGGACAAGTATCTAAAATTAATGCACAGGTAGATCAGATACACACATACAACTAGTCTGGATTATCACTTATACAACCAATACATTTTACATCTGTAATACAAACATAATTATTTGTAGTTATCACTTGTGCAACAATACAAGTTTTACATCTGTTCAATGTAAAACGAAACTGGAAAACAAAGCTGAAGTAATAAAGACTTCCAAAGAAAAAAGCTTAAACCATCCATTTAGACAAAAATACAAGCCTACTTATTGAAGATGAAACTGAAGACCAAATTAGCATAGATAATTTGGGTGGTATTCAAAATCTATATGCATTTCTACAATTTTCATTTGTTTTACCCAAACAAAGGGTAATGCGTTGACTTACTTTTGGGCCACATAATTGCATAATGAGCGAACACTGGACAATTGGACAAGGGAATCGCCAGACACATTGATTTTTTTGAAAAAAATAGTCAGGTTTCCAACACACACAGAAACCCATCACCATCCTTAAGAGTATCCAAACCAAACTACTGACAGCAGCGTACATTTGTGAAAATTTCCATATGGACTGCATACTCGTATTGATGGAATGAAAGTCTCCTCCTAAGCAACCAAATAATACTGGTTCCTCCTAGTTTTGCTGCATGAACATCAATAAATAAGGAGAGTTATTACTGTTCTCTTGTCTACAGATTTAATGCACATTCATTAACCCTTTCAACAGTACTATGTCGTGTTAAATTATCCTAAAACTAATTAAAAGTTGTTTTTAAATTTATATTTCATATGACCCTTTTATCCAAGAGGTAACACTTGAAAAAAGTAACACAGTAAAAAGCAGCACTGTAAGAGTTCAAAAACAAGAGTTAGCTGTTTTCAAACAACAACTACAACAAATTATATTTGTAAGGTGCCTTTCACGTGGGAAGGACGTCCCAAGGCATTTAAGGTCCTTAAATAGTACATCTGAAACTTTCTGGTTTAAATTGTACAATTGCTCAAATGATATACATCCATTATTAGGTTATCACCTAAACCATACATTTTCATGTATTTCTTGTACTGTCAACAAATAGTTTGCAATGAATTTTATACCGAAAAATACAACTGAAACCTCAATCTCATTTTGATCAGGCTAACTTGCACAACATTTTTAAATGGAACTCATTGTTTAACAAGACCTACATGCTGGAGAGCTGGGTTTGCTGGAAGAATCACTACTGAAGCTTTGTCGAGTGCATTCATAGTCACTGGAGGAGTTCACACTATCTGAACGCTCTGAAGATTCAATGTCACTGTTCAGATCATCATTCAAAGAATGCTTTTCATTGCTGAGAGGCATCTTTCGTCTCTAAATAAAAAAACAACATGCTGCAGATTCACCGGTAGTTATTGCAAAGTAGATGAATTGAGTGCCCTTTAAGGTAAAACAAATTCCATTAAACATGCAAGTTTGAAGTTAAAGTCAAAATATCATCAAGCCCCTGGAGCAGTAACCAGCTACACAACTAAAATATCAAATATTAGAAAACGTAGACACAATTACAAATATTTTTTAAAGGACAATGAAAAATGTGTAGCTAGAAGGAAACCTAAATGGCTCTCAGTTTAATAAAACATTTGTGTACATTGTAATTCATGATTGATGATGAAATGCTGTACTCTGTCCAGTGTCTTGGGACATCCTCCCGATGTGAAAGGCACTATATAAATGTAATCTTGTTGTTGCTGTTGTTGTTGAGCATCATCAATAAAAGTAACATTATGTTCTTCCCATTTGGGATTTAAATTACACCAAAAACATTAATTTATTGCAATGGCTGCACTCATCCTCTACAAACAAGTTTATTCTTCCTGGCATCCCCAATAATAATCTTCAGCCCCATACCTCATTGCAGTAGGGCTGCATTAGTGTTCAGGTTTTGCACATTCCTATGTTCCTAAAGTTCTCTCCTCCACTTTATGGTGATAGATATGGATTGAAAACATTCAATTTTTTAAAAAAACTTTTGGAATGAGTGCTAAAATTTGCCCTTCAGGTACTTGAAAATAGGCTTCCCTATTTCTTTGCCTGCTTTCCTTTTACTTATTCAGTCTTGTAGTCTTCATGACATCCAAAATGAGACATATTTGATAACATTGCTTTCTTCCATATTTAAGAAGGAAAGCTCTGTTACTCTAAGGTGTTTCATCTGGTAGCTGACAACAGTTCCAGATAACAGACTTCAAGGTCAAGGTTGGAAATAAAATGCAATCAGAGGACTGAGGCTATAATTTTGACGTCCAAACCTTCAGGTCAGCAGTTTGATAAGTTACTGGTGAATCTATTAGGACTGTGGATCTCAAAAACACTCACTCGCTCAATTTTCTTAAGTCTTTATGTGAATCATTTATACTTGATAATCTTAACTTCACCTTATGCTACTGAATTTATTTTCAAACCAGATTTGTTTACTTCTTAAGTTTATAGTACATGCTGAAGAAACTTTTGGTTAGGTTTATTCCAAACAGGGTGTAGTTGGAAATCAAGTAATTTTAGTTTTTCAGCATTTCCATTTAATTGTACCAACTTCGGTACAAATTCAACACGTTTTGCATATTTCAAAAGTTCATAACTCTATCTTGAAACACTGAAATGGCAGTAGGCTATTCAACCCATCAAGACTACTCTGCAATTACATGACATGAGATTTCTGGCACTTAACTACATTGTATGAAAGTTGCAAAATCTGCTTCAGCAATTCAAATGCCTTGAATATAATTGCTCAGTGGTCCTGGCCTTTTGACAATATCCAAACCAGATGGGCTTTAATCATAGATAATAACAGACAAATAGGATTGAATGTGATATATATATTAAAGGCATAAAAGTATAAACACACTTTGCGGGGGGGGGGGGAGAAAAATTCTTAGTTTTTAAATACTATACAATACATATTATATATCATGACACAGAACAGGTATACTCATAAAATACAAATGTTGAATATTTACTGTACAAAACAGCAAGGCGTATAGTACATTTAAGGTTGCAGCATGCTTCTCTTAATAAAAGATTATTAATTTACAATCAAGAATCCGTCAAAAAACAAAGATACTTTTAAAATCAATAATCTCCATAATAATAATTTACCTCCTCCAGTTTTCTCACCAACCCACTGAATGGATGTAGATCAGTTTATTGAAAAGCTGACTCTAAAATAAGAAATTAATATTTTTTGATTAGTCTTCATTCCAACATTGCAACAATGCGAGCAGGAATCATAAATTAGTTATATATTAATAGATTACATAATCATCACAATTCCACTATCCGCAGTCTTATGTAGTCAATGTGACTGTATACATTTATAATTGTAATAATAATTATTATTATAGTTGTAGCATGCAAACTTAGCATAAAATTCTACAGCTGTTCTTTCAGCCATAAAAGGGTTGCGATCACCAAGTCAGTCACACGAGGCTTTTATGGGCTGACGCTCAAAATAGAATCTCAGATAGTTGAGGTTCAAGTGCATATCTATCTATATACAGTGGCAGATCCTAAATTGTGTTAAGATAAATAGAATGAAATGGACGACAGCAGCAAATTGTGAGTCTGCTCCAGATCCCTGTTTAGTGGTGACTGTGGAGCTTCCTGATGTCCTGCCATAGAGACGGGTTGTTTTGGAGACTTCTGTCTGCAGCGTCTCTCCACATCACCGACAGTCACGTGATCAAAGATCACAACAAGGCGCAGAACAAGGAAACTCGAGGCTCAAACACTGACCCCACACAACCCCCGGCCTGACACTCACTGACCCCACACAACCCCCGGCCTGACACTCACTGACCCCACACAACCCCCGGCCTGACACTCACTGACCCCACACAACCCCGGCCTGACACTCACTGACCCCACACAACCCCCGGCCTGACACTCACTGACCCCACACAACCCCCGGCCTGACACTCACTGACCCCACACAACCCCCGGCCTGACACTCACTGACCCCACACAACCCCCGGCCTGACACTCACTGACCCCACACAACCCCCGGCCTGACACTCACTGACCCCACACAACCCCCGGCCTGACACTCACTGACCCCACACAACCCCCGGCCTGACACTCACTGACCCCACACAACCCCCGGCCTGACACTCACTGACCCCACACAACCCCCGGCCTGACACTCACTGACCCCACACAACCCCCGGCCTGACACTCACTGACCCCACACAAACTCGGGTAAAAAGCCCGACCGAAGTTTCTGAAGTTAATCTGCGAACCTGATACGCGGACGCGCTGACCTTGTTTACAGGAAGCACCAAGTGAAGCCACTGCGCGGTACTGAGGAGGGGGAGGGCGGGAGGGGGGGGGGTGGGGGGTATGGAAGCGATCGCTGTGATCGGCGAGGCGGGCAGTGCTGCCGCCTGTGGACGGTTTGCAGGTGCGCTCTGTGCTACAGCTGTCACTCACCTGCATTTAAAGGGTCGGTCAGTACCAGCTGCGCGCGCCGCCTTTATACCGCTTTCCCCGGGGACTCGGTGTCTCCCCGGGCGGGGGGGGAGGGGGGCGGCGGCGCGGCACCTCACCGGCCCTCACAGCCTGACCGAGTGTCTCGAAGCTCTGACAACTGCTTTCATTGACTAATTGTCAGCGTCCGGAAAGGTCGGTCCTGTTGGATAAAATGAAGGTGTTCGTGTTTCTGGCAACGGCCGCTCCCCGCCCCCGGAGTCGGCGGGCAGTTGGTTCAGGCGGTTGAGCTGTTTGTTTACGGATGTGACATATGAGCTCATACCTTACATTGTTACTGGGAAGAGAGGCGTCACGTGGGGGAGGGACAGCCCTCAGCACAGTCACTACACAATTCGAAAAAAATAATAAAAACACGAAACACGAGTGATGGGGTTGATTTATTTCTGGAAATTGCATCACAACAAACTTGATTTTTGAAACCCACAACTTCCCCCTCCCCCTCCCCCAGAGCACCAGGAAAGCTCAGTAACATTTGTCAATGCTTATCCATTATTCATAATTTGTTTATGCTAAAGAATCCCAATTTTCTAGGTATTCATATTATTTATATTAAGTATATTTAAAGTAACAACTTCGATTTATACAGCATCCTTCACAAAGGCCTAATGTCTTGAAGTATTCAAACGTACTTCCACATACAACAATATTCCATCTTGTCTTTCGGTGACTTTTTATTAAAACAAACCATTATTTTCTTTTAGAACAAGAATAGCATCATCATGGTAACATCATCACATCCAAGATCTCTTCCAACTCTCACACCATCTTTATAATTCATTATCACTTAAGTCGGTGCCAAGATTAGATTCTTCAGCAGGTTGTGATGATGTGGAATGCCAGAACATCAGGTGAGGCGGAGGGACTGTGGGATGGAGTTCCAGAGGGTGGGGGCAGAGAGTCTGATGGCCCACCAGCCAATGGGGTGCGCAAGGCAAGGTGGGCAAGTAAAGCAGGCCAGATCCCGCTGAGCGGAGGTAGGGAGAAGCAAGGCCATGGCGGGCTTTGATGGTGAGGACCAGGATCTTGAACTCTATCCCCTGAGCGATGGGGAACCAGTGAAGCCGGGCAAGGATAGGGGTGATAGGATTGCGTAGCCTGGTATGGGAGAGAGCATGGGCTGCAGAGTTCTGGATGATTTGCAGCCTGAGGGAGGAGTTGGGGAGACAACAAGCAAGGAGTTTGCTTACTCGAGCCTGGATGTGATGAATGCCTGATAAGGGTCTTGGCGGCCTATGGTGAGAGACAGTGGCGGAGCCAGGCAATGTTGCAGAGGTAGGGAAAGGCAGAGCGGATCATGGCACGGATGTAGGGGATGAAGGACAGTTGAAGGTTGAACAGGATGCTGAGGTTCCGTATTGGTTCCTTGAGGTGTAGAGTGCATCCATGAAGGGAGATGATGTCAGCGCCCGAGGGTATGAAGGTATGGATGGTATGGAGTACCTGACAAATGGAATTGTGAGCTTTAAATGCAGTAATTATCTAATTATTCTTGTACACTATTCAATTTAGAATTGTTGAGAGCAGCTACTCTTCCACCTGCAAGTTGTAACCTTATCCGTTAGGACTTTGGCTTTCAGGAGCTGAGTGGGCAGAATGAATTCCCACCCCTTGTAACTCATCTGTCCCTTTGACAATTGCAAAGAAATCTAAGTGGTTTTGATAGGAAAGTGAATGGGACTCGGGTGAATGTATGATTTAGGCCAGGTGGTCGAACCTTTTGGTGTCGAGGGCTGGATTTCACATGTGAGAGATGTCACAGGCCGCATAAACAATATTTTTGTTTTTCCCTTCCGGAAACATAAAGAATCACTTAGAAATTCTATATTTTAAATTATGTGACTGTATCACTTAATAATGATCATCTCAAATGGAAATAATGCAACAAATGTTTCAATGCATTAAAGTCAAAAATGCAAGATATCAACTCAGCACATGGAGGCCCCAACAGAGAATGCTCAACAAAACCCAAATAGATTAATCCATAATTACAAAACTAACAAAGGAACACAATAAAGATACTTTTAAATAAAGATTATTTTGAATATATAATTCAAAATAATATGAATACACAAAACTATTTTCATACAATACTCTAAATACATATAACCAAATTATTTTACGTAGCATACATTTTCTTGACACTTAGAAGACCATTAAATGTCTTAGTGTAAAAATTAACATAACATATAGGCCATTCGGCCCTTCGAGCCTGCCCCGCCATTCAATCATGGTTGATCTTCTAATCTAACTCCAGCTAATAACCTGACCCTGCCTTATCCCCATATCCCTTAATCCTTTTTGAAATAAGAAATCTATCTATCTCAGCCTTGAATATGTTCAAGGACTGAGCGTCAACAGCCCTTTGGGGTAGCGAGTTCCATACATTCACCACCCTTTGAGTGAAGAAGTTCTTCCTCAACTCAGTGCGAAAGGGCTGGCCTCTGATTTTAAGGTTGTGACCCCTGGTTCTAGTTTCTCCAACCAGGGGAAACAATCTCCCACTATCTACTCTATCATACCCTTTGCTGATCTTACAGGTTTCTGTAAGTTCCCCTCTAATTCTTCTATATTCTAGAGAATATAGGCCCAAATTGGTCAGCCTATCCTCATAACTCATCCCCTTCATCCCTAGTACTAACCTAGTAAATCTACGCTGCACCCCCTCCAAGGCAAGTACATCCTTCCTTAAATGAGACCAAAACTGGACACAGTATTCCAGGTGTGGTCTCACCAGGGCCCTATACAGTTGCAGCGAGACTTCCCTACTCTTATACTCTAATCCTTTCATAATGAATGCTAACATACCGTTCGCCTTCCTAATTGCTGCTGCACCTGCAGACTAACTTTCTGTGATTGGTGTACAAGGACACCCAAGTCCCTCTGGACGCTAACACATTCCAATCTCTCCCCTTCTAAAAAATAACCCGCTCTACTGTTTTTGTTACCTAGGTGGATGACATTGCACTCCCCTATATTATACTTCATCTGCCACCTACCTGCCCAATCACCTAACCTATCTATGTCTCGCTGCATTTTTTTAATGTCATCCTCTGTGTTGACACTTCCTCCCAGTTTTGTGTCATCCGCAAATTTAGATAATATATATTAACTTCGATGTCCTCATCTAGATCGTTGATGTAGATGGTAAATAGCTGAGGCCCAAGGGCTCCACTAGTCACATCCCACCAATCTGAAAATGACCCGTTTATCCCTACTCTTTGTTTCCTACCCGTTAACCATTCCCCAATCCACGTTAATATGCACCCCCCAATTCCATGGGCCCTTATCTTTTGGACTAACCTTTTATGCGGCACCTTATCGAATGCCTTCTGGAAGTCCAAATAGATCACATCCACTGATTCACCCCTATCTAGTTTACTTGAAATATCCTCGAAAAACTCTATGAGATTTGTCAAACATGACTTCCCTTTTGTAAAGCCATGTTGACTTGGCCTAATTATGTTGTGTTCCCCTAAATACCGCACTACCACATCCTTAATCAATGATTCTAAAATTCTTCCTATCGCTGATGTGAGACTAACCGGCCTATAGTTCCCCATCTTTTCCTTTCCACCTTTTTTAAATAGTGGTGTGACATTTGCGATCTTCCAATCCATGGGGACTGTTCCAGAATCCAAGGAATTTTGGAAGATCAGACATAAGGCCTCCACTATCTCATAAGCTCCCTCTTTTAAAACCCTGGGATGCAAGCCATCCGGACCAGGGGATTTGTCACTTTTTAGTGCTAACAGTTTCCCTACCACCAATTCTCTACTAATAAAAATTTCCCTAAGTTGCTCCCTGTCCTTATCCCTTTGGTGCATCTGTATTGTTGGCAGACTTGTTGTGTCTTCTAGGGTGAAGACAGATGCAAAGTACCCATTTAGGTATTTTGCCATGTCCTTATCCCCCATTACAACTTCTCCCATCCCTGACTGAAGTGGACCTACACTTCTAGCCTATTCCTCTTAATATATTTGTAAAAACTTTTACAATCAGACTTAATCTTCTTAGCTAGCTTATCCTCATACTCCTTTTTCTTGCTCTTGATGAGTTTTTTAGTTTTGGAAAATGTGTCTCTTGAACTAGAGCTCCAATGTCAACTTCAAATTCAGTTGTGGCAAGTCGGAGACAGCACCCAAGAGTATCGCTCTCAAGCCTGTTGCGATGTTCGGACTTAATGTGTTTAATTGTAGAAAACTTGCTTTCACAAACATAGAAGACATCTATAGTGCAAAGTCATTTAATTTAGGAAAACGATCCGTAGGAATAATTTTATAGAAGTTTTGTGAATCTCATTCTTCCTTGAGAGGAACAAAGGGTCACCCTGCAGTTCATACATCTCCATCTGAAGATTTGCTGGTTGCTCATCAATCCGATACCATCGGATTTTTGAATAGTTGGACGCTGGATCTCAGCCACTCAAAATCAGCAAATCTGGCACTGAACTCATCCAATAGCTCTGTTATGATTTCTGAAAAGCTGTGAAAATCAGTCTCATCAAACTCAGTTGCAAGTTCCATGTATGACGGAAAATGGGTGAGGTCGTTCTGCAAGACGAATAAGTTCAACAGTTGTAGCTTTATGTGGAAACCATCAGCATTTCCCATAAGGTGCAAAATATTCAGATCTTTACTTTGCAGTTGAAGACTGAGAATGTCGAGATGGCGTCTGTTAAGAAAGCCAATGAACATAGGTAAGTTGCATCTTCTAATTCCTCTTCAAACTGTGTAGTGTTGCTCTTTACATGTTCCTTGAAAAACGAAAGTACCTCCTTCCTAAATGCAAAAAACTGCACAAGGCAATTGCGAGCACTCAGTCAACGCACTTCGGACTAAAGAGGTAAATCACGATATTCTGTATCTAATTCTTCAAGGAAGTTTATGAACTTTCTGTGACTCTATGCTCAATTTCCTCTGCTGATAATATTGATCACTTTGATGACACTAATCACATTATTCATTTTCACTGTTTTTCCAAAAAGGAACACCTGATGTATGATGCAGTGGAAGGCAATACATTCAATTCCATTTTGTTTCAGCAAACCTACCAACCATTTTTATAACTGGTCTTTGATTTTGCACCAGCCAATGCAGGAGCACTTCTGAAATCCACTGTATTTACTGACAATTGATGTAAGAACATGGTTACATGGTAAATAGCCAACCTCTTTTTAGCAGTTTTCAGAGGAATTAACTCAAGTAATTCTTCATGAACAACAACATTTTCATCAATGGTTCTGATGAAAATTAGTAGCTGACCGATATCAGTAACGTCAGCACTCTCATCTAGAGCTAATGAGAAGCATTTACATTTTTCAACAATTGTCTTGAGCTTTGTATTCACGTGTTTGTTCATGTCACTTATTCATTCTTCTTGCCAGTTTGGTGAGACAGTGCTACAATTTCAAAATTATTGGCCATTTTTACATCATCAAATGCATCAGCCATTTTGGCTGCACAATTTTTTTACCATTTCCCCATTTCCAAATAACTTGTTAAACTTTGCTAGCTCGAGACAGACCTTGTAAGATGCTGTCAAACTTGCAGTTTGAAGTGTTTTAGCTTTTGTGAAAATTTGCTTTTTCAGCTGGCATTTCCAGTCTTTGATGGGAGCAACACGTGATTATCCAGTATATTTGTTGTATTTTGTCTTGTGTTGTGTCTTGTAGTGCCTTCTGGTATTGAACTCCATCGACGTGGATATTAGTTTGACACAAACAAGGCACTGAGGTTTTCCATTTTTTCAATAAACATGTAATCAATTTCCCAATTATACTGAAATCCTCTATTTTCCACTTCTATCTTCCGTTTCCTAGCGAGACTAACATTCTGATAACATCAATTACACACGTCTACGTTTACATTCTGTGATGTACTGTAACTGGTAGATTCGTCCACCATGTTGTTGCATGAGTTTTACATAAACTGTTAATAATACATTAAGCATTTGAATACGCATTCGAAGTGCAACTCACTGTATCTATGCAATTAGTATTCAGCCTGGCTCACCTCTGTGTCGTTAAGTTATGGGATGAATCCCACATTTAGGGCTTTGAGCTCATACTCTAGGCTGACCACTCCCTTCACGAAACCCTCCAATTGGGTTTCCGTGCCACCCACAGCACAGAAACAGTTCTGGTCAAAGTGACAAATTACATTCTGTCCATCTGCGACCAGGGCTCCCTGTGCCTCCTCATCATCTCTGCTGCCTTTGATACCGTTAACCACTCTATCCTCATCCACTGCATCACCTCTCACCTCAACCATCATGGTTCTGTCCTTGAATGGTTCAGATCGTACTTTTCACAGTGTCTCCTCTAGCCCCTGCAACGTCTTGTTGGTGTTCCCCAGGGCTCTGTCCTTGATCCCCTCCTCTTCAATATCTATATGCTCCCTCTTGGTGAGATCATCCGCAGACATGGGATCAACTTCCAACTGTCTGCCTATGCGGATGACACCCTGTACCTCTCTGCCTCCACCCTTGATTCCAGGACCATCGCTGTCCTGACAGAATGTCTGTCAGACATCAAGTCCTGGATGAGAGCTAATTTACTTCAGTTGAACGTCAACACGACCGAGGCTCTCCTGATTGGCTCCTATCAGCGCTTCCTCACCTCCATGGTTGCATCACCATCCATCGTTACACACTCTATCTTGCTAAGATAGTCTGGAATCGTGGGAGTCTTGTTTGACCCTCAACTGTCCTTTCTACCCCACATCTGCTCCATGACCCACTCTGCGTTCCCCCCACCTCAGCAATATCGCCTGGTTCTGCCACTGTCTCACACCGCAGGCTGCAGAAACCCTCTCACATGCCTTCATTACATTGAGGCTCAACTCCCTGCTTGTCAGCCTCCCCAACGCTTCCCTCCGTAGGCTTCAGATCATCCAGAATTCTGCAGCCCATGTCCTCTCCCACACCAGGCTCCATCTTGGAATGACACATTAAACCTAAGGAGTGTGTCTGCCTGTGAGGATGCTGTTAAGGATCCTAATGCACTATTCAAAAAGAGAATGAAGCTTCTCTATTCCGGATGTGTGTGAAATTGCTGTGTGCAAAACTGGCTGCTGCGTTATCTCCCAAATATACACACGAGACTTCACAGCAAATCCTGTGCAGGTACCCGATGTGAAAATGCATTGGTAACCTCAATTGTGCCATTGCAGGAGGGCGGAGGGGGTAAGGTTTCCCTGAGACACTGCTTACACACTGTTGTCGGAGCAGCTTCAGCGCTTTGCTGCTGCGGCTGTTGGACTAACACAGAACTCCTCCACCAGAGCCATCGGTCTGCTCTGCGCTTCCCCATGTTCCCAGCCACAGGCTCAGAGCTTCCGCCTCTCAGTGCGCAGGCGCAGCGCCCTGGCCGCTGATTGGCTGGTTTGCCGGCTGTTGCTGGGGTGAAGATGGCGACGCTGGTGCTGGACAGCGGGGCGGCGACCGCCAAGATCGGCTACAGCGAGGAGCAGGTCAGGTGCGTGACACCAGCTTCTCCCTCAGGCAGCGGACACCGGGTTCAGCGATCATTTCACTCACCGTTTGGCTTCTCTTACAGCGTCATCCCCAACTGCCAGTTCAGGTCGAAAACGGCTCGACTGAAAACCTTCACCGCCAACCAGATAGACGAGATCAAGGACCCCTCAGGCCTCTACTACATCCTTCCTTTCCAGAAGGTCAGGGCCCGCACCGAGTTCCGTACACAACAACAACTTGCATTCATATAGCGCCCTTCACATGGGTAGAGTCCCCGACCCCTTCACAGTGGTGGAGTGACACTGACCCAGTGGAAGATGGAGGGGGAGAGGGGGGGTGACCATAAGCATATTCAAATAGGAAGGTATTACACAGAATTTGAAGATGTGGAGGGAGGGAAGGAAGGGCTACGCAGAGGGATTGAGGGAGAGAGTTCCAGAGCTTCTGGTGGAGCGGATGAAGGCACAGCCACCAATGGTGGAGTGCAGGGGGCGAGGGACAAACAGAGGGACGGAGCCAGCTGCGCAGAGGCAGCAGGTGGTGGAGTAGGGGATAAGCAGGTTGGATAGGTAGAGAGGTGCGAGGGTATGAAGGAATTTGAAAACAATTGAGAGGATCTTGAAATTAATCCATTTGGTAATTGGGAGCCAGTAGAGCCTGGCAAGGACTGGTGTGTTGGGGATAGAGTTTTGTGCGGGTGGAGTTTTGCATTAATTGAATTTTGTGTATCGTGGAGGGCATTCAAATAGTCCAGCCGGGACATGACGAAGGTGTGGACGAGGGTTTCAGCTGCATTGATTGTGAGGTATGGAACGAGGGTGGCAATGTGATGGAGGTGGAAAATAGCGGTCCTGGTCAAGAAACTGATGTGGGGTAGAAAGGAAAGCTGGGGATTGAACCTTATACCTAAGTTGGGCATGGGTTCATTGATTCTGAGGGCAATCCCAGGGAGGTTGAGGAGAGAGGACATTGACAGGAGCCAAAGACTATGTTTCAGACTTGCTGACATTCACCTGCAGGAGATCTGCGCTCATCCAGGCTGTGATGTCTGTTAAACAAGCTGACAAGACATCAGCAGACTGGGAGTTGCAGATGGAGGAGAAGTAGATTTGGGTGTCATCAGCATACATGTGGAAGTTGAACCCATGTCGGTGGATGACATTGTCGAAATCCTCACTTAGGGTACCATTCTCTACTCTGAGAAAGAAGCTAGTGGGATCAAGCCCTATGATGGGGCTTTTGAACTGGGATAGTCTCACCAGCCTGACACCCCAATGCTGGGGAAAGGGAGGGCACTGACTGCATTGTTGTAGGTGCTGTCCTTTTGTACACAATGTTAAACCAAGATGCTGCCTGCCTGTTAAGGTTGACATTAAAGATCCCATGGCGCTGCTTGAAAAGAGGAGGTAGTTTCTCCTGGTTTCTTGTCAACACTCCCCCGGATTAAACTGGTCATTTACTTCATGGCTCTTTGTATTGCTGTGGTGAATTAGTTGCTGTGTTTACCTGCAAAATACGCAGTCAGTACACCACAATAAACCTCTTTTAAGTGCTTTAATATGTGGATGACATGAAAGGAACTGTATCAAATGTAAGCATTAATGTTACATTTGTTGCTCAATAGTAATTTTCCTGTTTGAAAGTGTAATTCTGATATTAAAATTTCTGGAAAAAGCAACCCTTAGTTAAGAGGAAAGTACAGAAACATGAAAGATCACATGAATTATTTTAGAGCAATACTAGCATTTGAATTTATCATATTGATTCAAAATTGTTCACTTTCAGGGGTATTTGGTTAACTGGGATGTTCAGAGGCAAGTGTGGGACCAATTGTTTGGCAGGGAAATGTATAAGGTAAGTTCTTGAATAATAATAATCCTTGCATTTGATATAGCGCCTTATCACGTCTTCGGGTCGTCTGAAAGCACTTCACAGAATATACTGTTGTGCCAATTGCGCACAGCAGGGTCCCACAAACAGCCATGGATTGAGTGACCACATTATTATTATGTTTTTTAAGCATTTATTGGCCCCGGAAATGCGATCCGCCAAATGACTAACAACCAGGTTCCTATTTACTGCTGGTGAACAGAGGCGTGTGGAGTAGGGAAGCTTGCTCAACGTTTCACCCTGCCTATACTTTCGCCTGGAAGTATATATGAACATGCTCAAAGTTAGTTTAGTTTTTGTTAGGTTTTTTTTCTTTTGTTGGCCTACTTGTAAAATTGTTCAACTTTACTTAGTCCTCTTGAATTTGTGTACACTTAAGTTTTTCCTACTAGCATGATGCATTGCTGAAAGATCTTTATTTTCTCCAAAATATCTTTTCAGTGTAAAAATCTTTTGACAAATTGCCTTGATTGAATTTGATTTCTTGTTTACTTAAAAAAAGTACTGTTCCTGCAAAAAGTTGGATTTGGCATTAGATCTGTTATCAGCCTGGCTCAGTCAACAACAATAAATTGTGTTTTATTGTGTTTCACATTGGGAAGATGCCCCAAAGTGCTGGATAGTTTGGCACTCGAACAGGGGGTTGGATTCGGAAGGGTTGGGGGCCAAAGGGGTGGGGGGGAAAAGATAACTGAAGATGTGATCAAGAAGGAAGGTCTTGAGACAGACCTTGAAGGAGGTGAGGGAAGGTGTTAAGCGAAGGAACTCCAGGATGAAGTTGCGGAGATTAGGGGCAGGTAAGCTGAAAGACCCCCTCCGATGGTGGAGCAGGAAAAATGAAGAAGGTCAGTGCTGATGAATTGGAAGGAGCAGATGGATTGGTAGGGTTTAAGAGGTAGGGTGGGACAAGAATGGGATGGGATTTAAAAGTGAGGGCAAGGATCTTGAGCTCAATCCTGTGGTGGATAGGAAGCAGTAGAGCCAGGTGACGATGGGAATGATACTAGGCTCACGGAGCCTAGTTTAGGAGAGGATATGAGCTGCAGAGTTTTTTGATGATCTGTAGCTTGTGGAGGGAAGAGTTGAGAAGTCCAGTGAGCAGAGAGTTAGCATAGTCTAGCCTGGAAGTCAGGGTTGTCAGTCTAGCTCTTTGTTACCTGTTTACCTTTAGATAGTAGTTAATAGCCATTATGGTAGCCACTAAAGTGTTGTGATTGCCTCCACATCTTTAGTTGTGTAGTTCGAACTAGAGTTTTCTAAATGGGCCTACAAAAATGTGCAGGCAATTCACTTTACAGCGCTTTTGAGATATTGCGAAGACGTGATAAGGCACTATGTCAATTGCAAGGATTATATTATTATTAAATGTTTTTTGAAAGAAGGTTTTTATTATAATATATGATTACAGCATCAGAATATTTTTCCTATTTCCCCACAGGTGGATTTTTCTGAAACCACTATACTTATTACAGAACCCTATTTTAATTTTAATTCAATCCAAGAGTCCATGAATGAAATCTTATTTGAAGAATATCAGTTCCAAGAAGTCTACCGGACAAATGGTGTGTGTTAATATTGAGGTTTATTTTCTAATATTGTGTACTAATGTGACTGTTAAAATAGATTTACATTGTCCATGTGACAATTTCTTAAAAAAACTAAGGGAAAACAAATAAATGGCACAGTTTCAGTTCCCAGACCATCAAGATGCTTTTCTGGACTTTGGGTTTCAGGTCCACAATCTGCATATTGGAGGGAATATGTTATCATTCCTTTGAGAACTGTTACATCTTAGTCCTACACTTGTATTAATTGATTTTGCATAAATAACTTCTCAATTCACGTTTGCAACTTACAGGAGATGAAACTATGTCTGTTGTATTGACATAATTGGGTGCATAATGAGATGGGGCTGTGGCAACAGGGTACAAGAAACAAGCTGTAAAACTGGGGAGAGCAGGAAGACAAACAAAAATATGCTTGAGTGCTTTTAGAAGTTATGAATTGCGCCGTTGTGAAACTTCAGTGCATTAGGACGTCCTCCCAACGTGGAAGCAGCTATACAAATGTAATTTTGTATTGTGTGCATTCTGGAATTGCTAAACCTTCAGTGGAAGGTTATTTTATTTCTCTTTTACTTAAGTTCTATCTAAACTGAAATTGTAGTGATTTATCTGTGCTTGATGCTGAACTTTCTCGAATCTAAAATTGAGGGAATACGTTCAGCCACATCAGCCCCGTCCACAGTCACCCACCCCCACATCACCTCTCCCTCCTGACCCACCCCCCACCCATCCCCCCACCCCATACTCCTTCGACCCTATCTCTCCCTCCTCCCTCACCACGACTGTCTGCAAACTCAAACCCACCACCTGTTCCCTCGATCCCATCCCCACTTCTCTCCTCGTCTCCCAGCTCCACCTTCTGGCCCCTCTCCGTCTGATGTCATCAACCTCTCCTTGTCTACCGGTTCAGTTCCCACCCCCCTAAAAACAGCCGTGATCACCCTCATCCTGAAAAAACCTCCCCTGGATCCATCCCTCCTCTCCAGCTTTCACCCCATCTCTAACCTCCCATTCCTCCCCAAGGTCCTGGAACGAGTCGTCGCATCACAGCTCCGCTCCTTTCTCTCTCACCATTCCCTCTTTGTACCCCTCTAATCCGGCTTCTGCGCTGCCCACAGCACGGAAACAGCCCTGGTCAAAGTCACTAATGACATTCTGAACATCTGTGATCAGGACTCCCTCTGCCTCCCTTGTCCTCCTCGACCTCTCTGCCGCCTTTGACACTGTAGACCACTCCATCCTCATACACCGCCTCTCCACTTTATTCAATCTTCACGGACTTGCCCTTGCCTGGTTTGATTCCTATCTCTCACCGTCTCCACTTCCGTTGTCTCTAATGGTTTCTCCTCCAGCCCCCACACTGTCACATCTGGCGTCCCCCAGGGCTCTGTCCTTGGCCCTCTCCTCTTTAACATCTGCATACTCCCCCTTGGTGACATGGGGTCAACTTCCACATGTATGCGGATAACACCCAACTCTATCTTTCTGCCTCCACCCTCAACTCCAGGACCACAACAACAACAACAAGATTCCATTTATTGAGCGCCTTTCACGTCGGGAGGACGTCCCAAGGCGCTGTACAGTTGGGTCAGGACCCGAGCAGGGGGGAAATGGTCAGAGTGAGGGGAGGGAAGGGAGGGAGCGAGGAGGGGGTAGAGAGTCGAGAGGGGAGCTGAAGGCACTGTCAAAGAGAAAGGTCTTGAGACCGGCCTTGAAGGAGGAAAGCGAGGAGGCGGCGAAGGCACTGGGGGATAGAGTTCCACTACTGTCCTGACAGACTGCCTGTCGGACATCAAGTCCTGGATGAGGACAAATTTCCTACAGTTGAATGCGAACAAGACTGAGGCCCTCCTGATGGGCTCGCGCCAGTGCCTCAGGCTCTGGCAACATCAACCTCCATGGCTGCACACTCCACCTCACCAAGCCAGTCAGGAACCAAGGTGTCTTGTTCGACCCTCAACTGTCTTTTCTCCCCCACATTCAAGCCATGACCCGCTCTACCTTCCCTCACCAACGTAAGATTGCCCAACTCCGCCACTACCTCACCTCTTAGGCCGCTAAAACTCTTGTTCATGCCTTCATCATCTCCAGGCTCGACTATGCAAACGCCCTGTTTGTCGGTCTTCCCAACTCCTCCCTCCACAGGCTGCAGTTAATCCAGAACTCTGCAGCCCGTGTCCTCTCCTGCATCAAACTCCGTGACCCCATCTCCCCCACTCTCACCTGACTCCACTGGCTCCCTATCCTTCAGAGGATCCCGTTCAAGATCCTGGTCCTCACATACAAAGCCCTCCATGGCCTCGCCCCACCCTATCTCTGCGACCTCCTAACCCCCTACCAACCCACCCGTTCCCTCCGCTCAGCTGGCTCTGGCCTGCTCCACGTCCACAACCCACCCGCCCCACCATTAGCGGGAGAGCCTTCAGCCAACCTATGGAATTCCATCCCTCAGTCACTGCGCCTCGCCCCTCCTTAGCCTCCTTTAAGTCCCACCCCAAGACCCTCCTTTTGGACCATGCCATCGCCCACCCCTCTTCCCCTCCCCTCGACCCCAGCTCGGGTCTGAAATGCTGTACGCCTTGGGATGTCCTCCCGATGTGAAAGACACTGTACAAATTATGCAATCTTGTTGTTTAAATAAATGTGAATAGGCAAACAGTCTCAGAGAGATTGCTGATATATTGTCTCCTAAATTCAGAGATTGAGATTGATAATTCTGGTTAATTATTATCTGGGTGGGTCTGGGCTGTTCTTTGTACCGCGGGAATCGCAGTATACTGTTCAAGCTCACTGAGAGGCCATTTGGGGGATTGACTTAGAAGTCTTAAACGTGGAGTCCTGTAGCTCAGTGGTTAGAGCGCTCGCCTCACAAGCGAGAAACTTGGGTTTGATTCCCTGCAGGGGCGAAATGTTGGGTAAGTTTTCTTACTCCACATGCCTCTGTTTACCTAGCAGTAAGTAGGAACCCGGTTGTCGATTGGCGGATCGCTTTTACGGGGGTAATAATTCCTTCAAAAAAATAATAATAAATTGGTCACTTCAATCCACGACTCTTCGTGGGACACTGCTGTGCACAATTGGCTGCCACGTTTCGCCCACAAATTCAGTCAATTCACTTGACGTAGTATATTCTGTGAAGCACTTTCAGGTGACTCAAAGAGTTGATAAGGCGCTATATCAAAGTGCAAGGATTATTATTAAAAATAAAGCATTACAAAGGGCATTCAATAACTGAACTCTGAAAGAAAATTGTAATATGTGTGTGTAAGAATATTTCAGATCCAGTGTGTTTTAAATATTCTAAGTGTGTTTTACAGCTGGAACGTTGAGTGCTCACAAGTACTTTCAAGAGAATAAGTCTGAACTTTGCTGTCTCGTGGTGGACAGCGGCTACTCTTTCACACACATTGTACCTTATTGTAAAGGGAAAAAAATGAATGAAGGTATTTGCAGGTAAATCTATACATGTAGATTTCTTTATTACAGTTTATATACAACATTTCTGTTTCCATGATTTCCATTACTGATATAAGTAAAGCCGGAAGGATATGCTGATTACTTAACTTGGTTAAACTCTCAATGCAGTTTAAAAGATTCCTACGCACTAAACTCGTTAGGTTCCTACTCACTTTCAGGTTGTAGGTGTTTGCATAATCTGTTTAATTCTGACATCCATAGGATAAATGTTGGTGGAAAGCTACTAGCCAATCATCTCAAGGAAATCATCTCATACAGGTATGTGGCTTCTACAAATTATACTGCTAGAGAAATGGCCAGTAATTCCATCAGTATTGCTAATTCAGGTGTTGGGTTCAACAGATTTCTGAGCCATTGTATGTCTCATATCAGGATAGATTTCTACCAAGAAACAGCTCAGACTGATTTGACTAAGACTTGTCTAATGTTACAAAAAAAGTATTTTATAACAAATTATAGTGGGGTTTCCTTATATTAAATGAAGCCTCCAAGCAATAAACCTTTAGATGGTATGTATTGTGTATCCAATAATGTTTGGTTGCAAATAGAAAGTACAGTATTTGAAATGGGGACAGGATGGATTTGAAGGGATTAAAGAATTTACAGACAGAGGCAGAGTTTATATCATTTAGTACGTCTTCTGCTGCTTGTGTCACTTGACCAACTAATGATAGCAAAGCATGAAACATTTGCTATCTGGGTTGTTTTTGGAAGTATTGTACATATTGTAATTCATGTGTTATTATCTTTCACTGTATTAACCTCACTGTATCAATTAGAACACCTGAACCAGTGATGTCCAGCCTTTATGGTCGGCCAACAAAATAAATTTTCTTGATTGAATATTTCTTGATTTATGTCAAAAACTGAAAACATATAACCAATTAAATACAGAGTTAGCTAGACTCGTACAAATGTTCGGGGGCACGAAGGGTGTGGGGGGGTGCGCTTCTTGACGACCGCACAGCCACTTATGGGCCACAGGTTGGCCACCACTGACCTACGTTTTACTAATAAAATGTAATAACATTTCTTACCGTTCCTAAACAGAGTGGAGTCCTGAAGCTCAGTGGTTAGAGCACTCACTTTGCAAGTGAGAGACCTAAGTTCAATTCCAGACAGGGTGATTAGATCATGGCTGATCTGTACTTCAACTAATCCTTTCAATTTCAATCTCCTTCTTTCTTCCCATATCCCTTAATCCCTGACCTACCATATAAATCTATCAACCTCACTCTTGAAGACGTGGATGGATCCAGCATCCACGGCCTTTTGGGGGAGAGAATTCCAGATTTCTACCACCCTTTGAGTGAAAAAATGCTTTCTGATTTCGCTCTTAAATGGCCTGCGTCTAATTTTAAGAGTATGCCCCTTTGTTTTGGATTCCCTACAAGAGGAAATGGCTTCTCTGTATCTATTCTATCAAATCCCTTTATCATCTTGAATGCTTCAATCAAATCACGCCTCAGCCTTCTAAACTCAAGGGATTACAATCCAAGTTTACGCAGCCTTTCCTCATAACTTATCACTTAGGCCTGGTAACATTCTGGTGAACCTGTGCTGCACCCCCTCCAGGACCAATATGTCTTTCCTGAGGTGCCCAAAACTGAACACAGTACTCCAGATGTTGTCTGACTAACTCTGTATACAGCTGAAGCATCAATTCTTTCCCTTGGTATTTCAGGCCCTTTGAGGTAAAGGCCAACATTCCATTCACCTTTTTGATTACTTTTTGCACCTGGGAACTAATTTTTAATGATTTATGGATATGGACACCCAAATCGCTTTACTTCTCTTAATTTCTCCCCATTAAGAAAATATTCTGCTTTAATAATAATAATCCTTGCATTTGATATAGCGCTTTTCACGTCGGGAGGACGTCCCAAAGCGCTTCACAGAATATACTCTAAAGTGAATTGACTGTATATTTGTGGGCGAACACGGCAGCCAATTGCGCACAGCAATGTCCCACAAACAGTCATGGATTGAAAGTGACCAATTTCTTATTATTGTTTTTTTTTTTTTGGAGGGATTATTAGGCTCTGTGTGGAGTAAGGAAACTTGCCCAAGGTTTCGCCCTACCTGGAATTGAACTCGGGTCTCTCGCTTGCAAAGCGAGTGCTCTAACCACTGAGCTACTGGACTCCACTATCTTTATCTTTTTTCGGTCCATAGTGGATGACCTCGCACTTCCCTACATTAAACTCCACCTGCCACAGCTTTGCTCACTCACTTAATCTGTTTAAGTTCCTTTGTAACCTACTTCTATCTCCACAACTTACTGAACCTTGTAGCTTAGTGTCATCTGCAAACTTGGATATAAACCTTTCTATTTCTTAATCCAAGTCATTTATATATATGGCGAATAGCTGGGGTCCCAGTACAGACCCCTGGGGGATACCACTTGTCACATCCCGTCAATCAGAGAACGTTCCCTTTACTCTTACTCTCTGTTTCCTGCCTCCCAATCAATTACCAAGCCACATCACAAAGTTACCTCTGACTCCATGCGCTTCCATTATCGCTAATAAACTTTTGTGTGGAACCTTATCAAATGCCTGCTGAAAGTCCATGTTAAAGACATCCGTAGACACGCTCTTATCCACCTTGTTAGTGATCTCCTCAAAAAATCCAACTAGATTAGTCAGACACAATCTACCCTTCACAAACCCATGCTGACTCTGACTAGCTCATACCTGACCAGGTGTTCAGTTACTCTGTCCCTGAAAGAATGGATTCCAATATTTTCCCTACAACTGATGTTAAGCTGACAGGTCTGTTGTTTCCTGGTTTCTCCCTTCCTCCCTTTTTAAATAAAAGGGTGACATTCGCAATTTTCCAATCTAAGGGCACATTTCCCAAATCTAGTGAGCTTTGGAAAATTATGACATGCCTCTGCAATTTCCTCTCCTATTTTCTTTAACATCCTGGAGTGGAAACGATCAGGTCCTGGAGATTTGTTTCATCTTAAATCTCATTATTTTCTCCATTACAATTTTTTAATTTATATTAATTTTGTTAAGCATTTCACTTTGACTTATTTTTAGTTTCCCTTCTACGGCTGATATTTTGTTCTCATCCTCTACTGTGAAAACGGTAGCGAAGTATTTATTTAGCAAGTCAGCCATTTCCTTCTTTTCCGTTATAGTCTCACCTACATCTGTCTTTAACGGACCCACATTCCCCCTTACCATTCTCTTTTAATGTATTTATAAAAGCTTTTACTTTTGGTTTTAATATCCCTTGCAAGTTTTTTCTCATACTCCCTTTTTGCTCCTCTTATTACTTTCTTTGTATCCTTTTGTTGCTTTTTGTAGTTTTCCCAGTCTTTTTAGCATTCCTACTTTTTCTTGCTTTTGAGTAAGCCTTTTCTTTTAGTTTGATATGATCTCTAACCTCTTTTGTCCACCATGGTTGCTTAACTGCACGATTGAAGCTTTTGCATTTTAGGGGTATGTACTTGTTTTGTATTGTATCAAATATTTTTTTGAATACTTCCATTGTTCATCTAACAGTTCAGCCCAGTTTACTGTGGTCAATATATTTCTCATCCCATCGAAATTTGTCTTACTTAAATTCAAAACCTTGGTTTGGGACTCTCCCTTTTCCGTCTGAAATCCAATGTCAAATTCAATTATATTATGATCACTATTGGCAAGATGTTCCCTTACTGTCAAATTGTTAACTAGTTCTGGCTCATTTCCTTATACCAAATCCAGTTTGGCTTGTTCCCTTGTTGGTTCTAAAACATATTGTTCCAAAAAACAGTCCTGAATACATTCTAGAAATGTGTTGCCTGCCTCAGGGAGATGTCCTGCTTCTCCCAGAAAATTAAAATCTGCCACTATAACCACATTGCTTTTGCTACATGCTTCCCTGATCTCCGTATTTATACATTTCCCCACTACATCAGAACTCTCTGAAGGTCTATAGACTACTCCCAACAGACCTCCTTAATTCCTTAATTCTACCCACAGTGGTAGAATCCACTACCTGATTGTCCTTACTGAAATCTTTCCTTTCCACGAGTGTAATAGTGTATTTTATCAATATTGCTACTCCTCCTTTCCCAATGTCCCTGCCTTTTCTAAAGATCTTGTAGCCTGGAATATTTAGCTTCCAGTCCTGCCCAGCTTATAACCAGGTCCCTGGAATGGCTACTAGATCATACCCTTTAAGCTGAATTTGTGCTTCTAACGCACTTGTTTTATTTCTTATGCTACTTGCATTTGTATACATAACTCTATTTGGGTAACTGTCCCCAACATGCCTATACGCCCTGCCAATGTTCTTCTCACACTTTTTGACTTGTTACTCCTTTTGTGATAACTTCCTATTACCTTTTTCGTTTCTGCAGTATTTATGTTATCTTTATAACTATTTGTTTAAACCAAATTACACAACACAAATCTATCTTGAGTTGTCATTGTAGTATCTGAAGAATAATTCAGTCTGAATGATTATTCTCTGCAGTCCAATTATTATTCTAATCATCAAAATTTAGTGTCGCTAAATATTCAACAAATATAATATAAATATAAATGTAATTTTGTTGTTGGTAATTTGTATTTCTGATTTTTTTGTACATTTGATTCAACACCATTGTAAATAATTGTGAATATTTTTAGAATCTTAATTAAAATCTTTTATAGGCAGTTGCATGTGATGGATGAGACCCATGTTATCAATCAAGTAAAGGAAGACGTATGTTATGTGTCACAAGACTTCTACAAGGACATGGAAATTGCACAGTGAGTCCCTGCACTGATTTATTGAAGCCATACACTCCTCCCTGAAGGCCAAACCAATCACAGTATCTAACATTCAATTATAAATAACATTTTAAAATAAGAAACTGTAGTACTTCTTCCTTGCATTTCATTGGAGATATAACTGGGGATCTATCCCTGAAGTATCTTTTCCAACAAGAACAGATCTAAATTTTCTACTGTTTTCTTAGATTCTAAGTCAGTGGAATTGACTTATTGATTTACCAAATGAAGGGTGGTGGATTGATTCAAAGTTTGTTCAGTGGAATCTCCCCCAAACAGACTTAGAATGGAAAGCAAAATACTTTCCCAGGCAGCATGCATGTTTTTAAATGGCTTTGGAATTCTGAGTTAAAAAAACCCTAATTTACCCAGTAGTCTTCCAGTAGGGTTGTTCACTCCATTCCCAGCATATGTAAAAACTGGTATGTTGTAACACTTTTAATTTCCCCACCGAGGAGGACACATATATATTAAAAATAACTATTAAGAACAATCATTTACATTGAAAGTTTTCAAACAATTGATGCTATTAATTTTTTTAGGCTAAAAGGTGAAGCAAACACAGTAATGAGAGACTACATTCTTCCAGATTTCAGCACTATTAAGAAGGGTTTCTGCAAGGTAAAATAAAAAATGGATTGCAAATTTTCCCCTTGGGCATTTCTGATAGTAAGTTAAGCATTGCGTAATCCATCTGGAAATGTATTCTTATTAAAACAGAATCGGCATATAAATTGTATCTTATATGGTCTTTCAGTAATTTCTAATTTTACTGTATCTTTAAAGCTTATTTTGCAAGATACTGACGCCTACATTGTTTCACGTGGACATTATATTGTACTTAGCACTGACTCTACATATAGGAACAGGAGTAGACCATTCAGCTATTCGAGCCTGTTCCACCATTTAATTAGATCATGGCTGATCTGTACCTCAACTAATCCTTTCAATTCCAATTTCCTGTTTTCTCCCCGTTTCCCTTAATACCCTGATCTACCAACTCACGCTTGAAGGTATGGATGGATCCAGCAACCACGGCCTTTGGGGGGAGAGAATTCCAGATTTCTACCATCCTTTGAGTGAAAAAATGCTTCCTGATTTCACTCTTAAATGGCCTGGTTCTAATTTTAAGACTGCCCCCTTGTTTTGGATTCCCCCACCAGAAGAAATAGCTTCTCTGCATCTACCCTATCGAATCCCTTTATCTCTCCCACCGTCTTCACTAAGTTTCCACGAATGGCTTTTCCTCCACCCCCCGCACTGTCTCGTGTGGTGTCCCTCAGGGCTCTGTCCTCGGTCCCCTCCTCTTCACCCTCTATATGCTCTCCCTTGGTGACATCATCCGCAGACATGGGGTTAACTTCCACATGTATGCGGATGACACCCAACTCTACCTTTCCTCCTCTACCCTCAACTCCACGACCACCGATGTCCTGACAGCTGCCTGTCCGACATCGAGTCTTCAGCTCAACGTGCGAAAAACCGAGGCCCTCCTGACTGGCTCACGTCAGCGCCTCCGCACCTCAGGCGCCGACACCATCAGCATCCAAGGCTGCACTCTCCACCTCTCAAAGCCAGTCAGGAACCTCGGCGTTTTGTTCGACCCTGAGCTGTCCTTTCTCCCTCACATCCGCACCACAACTGGCACCGCCTTCCATCACCTCCGGAACATCGCCAGACTACGGCATTACCTCACCCCTCACGCTGCTGAAACCCTGGTTCATGCCTTTGTCACCTCAAGGCTGGACTATGGAAACTCTCTCCTCGCCGGCCTTCCCGGCGCCTCCCTCCACACTGCAGGTCATTCAGAACTCTGCAGCTCGTGTACTGTCCCGCGCCAGGCTTCGGGAACACATCACTCCCACCCTCGCTCGCCTCCACTGGCTCCCCATCCCCCAGAGGATTGATTTCAAGATCCTCATCCTCACCTACAAGGCCATTCATGGCCTTGCTCCCTCCTACCTCTCCAACCTACTATCCCCCTACCTACCTGCCCGTACCGTCCGTTCCTCCGGCTCCGGTCTGCTCCACGTCCCCCGCCCCAATCGCCCTACCATCGGTGGTCGGGCCTTCAGCCTCTCAGCCCCTAGGCTCTGGAACTCTATTCCCCAGTGCCTTCGCCTTGCTTCCTCCCTCTCCTCCTTCAAGGCCGGTCTCAAGACCTTTCTCTTTGACCGTGCCTTCAGCTCCCCTCTCGACTCTCTTCCCCCTCCTCGCTCCCTCCCTTCCCTCCCCTCACCCTGACCATTTCCCCCCTCCTCGCTCCCTCCCTTCCCTCCCCTCACCCTGACCATTTCCCCCCTGCTCGGGTCATGACCCAACTGTGCAGCGCCTTGGGACGTCCTCCTGACGTGGAAGGCGCTTTATAAATGGAATCTTGTTGTTGTTGTTGTTGAGTCCTGGACGAGAGACAACTTTCTTCAGCTCAACGTGCGCAAAACTGAGGCCCTCCTGATTGGCTCACGTCAGCGCCTCCGCACCTCAGGTGCTGACAGCATCAGCATCCAAGGCTGCACTCTCCACCTCTCAAAGCCGGTCAGGAATCTCGGGATTCTGTTCGACCCTGAGCTGTCCTTTCTCCCTCATATCTGCGCCACAACTGGCACTGCCTTCCATCACCTCCGGAATATCGCCAGTCTACGGCACTACCTCACCCCTCACGCTGCTGAAACCCTGGTCCACACCTTTATCACCTCAAGGCTGGACTATGGGAACTCTCTCCTCGCTGGCCTTCCCGGCACCTCCCTCCACAAGCTGCAGGTCATTCAGAACTCTGCAGCTCGTGTACTGTCCCGCACCAGGCTTCGGGACACATCACTCCCACCCTCGCTCGCCTCCACTGGCTCCCCATCCCCCAGAGGATCGATTTCAAGATCCTCATCCTCACCTTCAAGGCCATTCACGGCCTTGCTCCCTCCTACCTCTCTGACCTACTATCCCCCTACTTACCTGCCCGTACCCTCCGTTCCTCTGGCTCCGGTCTGCTCCACATCCCCCGCCCCAACCGCCCTACCATCGGTGGCCGGGCCTTCAGCCTCTCAGCCCCAAGGCTCTGGAACTCCATCCCCCAGTGCCTTCGCCGCCTCCTCCCTTTCCTCCTTCAAGGCCGGTCTCAAGACCTTTCTCTTTGACCGTACCTTCACCTCCCCTCTCGACTCTCTACCCCCTCTTCGCTCCCTCCCTTCCCTCCCCTCACCCCGACCATTTCCCCCCCTGCTCGGGTTTTGACCCAACTGTACAGCGCCTTGGGACGTCCTCCTGACGTGAAAGGCGCTCTATAAATGGAATCTTGTTGTTGTTTATCATCTTAAATACCTCAATCAATTCACACCCCAACCTTCTAAACTCATGGGATTACAACCCAAGTTTATGTAACCCTTTTAGGCCTGGTAACATTCTGGTGAACCTGCACTGCACCCCCTCCAGGGCCAATATACCTTTCCTGAGGTGCCCAAACTTGAATGCACTCCAGAAGTTGTCTGACTAACGCTGTATACAGCTGAAGCATTATTTCTTCCCCTTTGTTTTCCAGGTCCTTTGAGGTAAAGGCCAACATTCCATTCACCTTTTTGATTACTTTTTGCACCTGGGAACTAGGTTTTAGTGATTTATGGTTATGGACACCCAAATCTCTTTGCTCCTCCACAGTTCTTAATTTCTCCTCATTAAGAAAATATTCTGCTTTATCTTTGTTCAGTCCATAGTGGATGAACTCGCACTTCCCTACATTGAACTCCTCCTGCTCACTCACTTAATCTGTCTAAGTCCCTTTGTAACCTCCTACTTCTATCTACACAACTTACTGAACCTTGTAGCTTAGTGTCATCTGCAAACTTGGATATAAACCTTTCTATTCCTTCATCCAAGTCATATATATATATATATATATATGGCGAATAGCTGGGGTCCCAGTACAAACCCCTGGAGGACACCATTTGTCACATCCCGTCAATCAGAGAACGTTCCCTTTACTCTTACTCTCTGTTTCCTGCCTCCCAATCAATTACCAATCACAAAGTTACCTCTGACTCCATGCGCTTCCATTATCGCTAATAAACTTTTGTGTGGAACCTCATCAAATGCCTGCTGAAAGTCCATGTTAAAGACATCCATAGACACGCTCTTATCCATCATGTTAGTGATCTCCTCAAAAAATCCAACTAGATTAGTCAGACACAATCTACCCTTCACAAACCCATGCTGACTCTGACTAGCTCATACCTGTCCAGTTACTCTGTCCCTGAAAGAATGGATTCCAGTATTTTCTCTACAACTGATGTTAAGCTGACAGGTCTGTTGTTTCCTGGTTTCTCCCTTCCTCCCTTTTTAAATAAAAGGGTGACATTCGCAATTTTCCAATCTAAGGGCACATTTCCCGAATCTAGTGAGCTTTGGAAAATTATGACATGCCTCTGCAATTTCCTCTCCTATTTCCTTTAACATCCTGGAGTGGAAACGATCAGGTCCTGGAGATTTGTTTCATCTTGAATCTCATTATTTTCTCCATTACCATTTTTTAATTTATATTAATTTTATTAAGCATTTCACTTTGAGTTATTTTTAGGTTCCCCTGTACAGCTGGTATTTTGTTCTCATCCTCTACTGTGAAAACGGTGGCAAAGTATTTATTTAACAGGTCAACCATTTCTTATAGTCTCGTTATAGTCTTAGTTTGATACAGTCTCTAACCTCTTTTGTCCACCGTGGTTGCTTAACTATACGATTGGAGCTTTTGCATTTTAGGGGTATGTACTTGTTCTGTATTGTATCAAATACTTTTTTGAATACTTCCCATTGTTCATCTGCAGGTTTACCCACTAACAGTTCAGCCCAGTTTACTGTGGTCAATATATTTCTCATCCCATCGAAGTATGCCTTACAACAACAACAACAACAACAAGATTCCATTTATAGAGCGCCTTTCACGTCAGGAGGACGTCCCAAGGCGCTGCACAGTTGGGTCATGACCCGAGCAGGGGGGAAATGGTCAGGGTGAGGGGAGGGAAGGGAGGGAGCGAGGAGGAGGAAGAGAGTCGAGAGGGGAGCTGAAGGCACGGTCAAAGAGAAAGGTTTTGAGACCGGCCTTGAAGGAGGAAAGGGAGGAAGCAAGGCGAAGGCACTGGGGGATGGAGTTCCAGAGCCTGGGGGCTGAGTGGCTGAAGGCCCGACCACCGAAAGTAGGGCGGTTGGGGCGGGGGACGTGGAGCAGACCGGAGCCAGAGGAACGGAGGGTACGGGCAGGTAGGTAGGGGGATAGTAGGTTGGAGAGGTAGGAGGGAGCAAGGCCGTGAATGGCCTTGTAGGTGAGGATGAGGATCTTGAAATCAATCCTCTGGATTAAATTAATTTACTTAAATTTAAAACCTTGGTTTGGGACTCTCCCTTCTCCTTCTCAAATCTAATGTCAAATTCAATCATATTATGATCAGGTGCAGCCCATCCCAGCAGTACAGCTCATTCCTTTGCCAGTATTGGTGCCAGTCTCCCATGAAACCGCACCCCTCCTCACACCACTCCTTCAGCCACACATTCATTTCCCTGATCTGTTTATGCCAATTTGCACGTGGCTCGGTTAGCAATCCAGAAATTACCACCTTTGAGGTCCTGTGTTTTAATTTAGCCCCTAGCGCTTGATACTCCCTGGCTATCAATCTCACACTCTTCTTCCTGTACCTCTCTATCTGGCGTGGCTATGTACTGAAGTAAGCTGTCCACTGTCCTTCCGTTTTGCGTCGGAATGTCTCTAACGTGCACTCCAGGTCAAAAACCCTGAGCTGGAGTGACTCAAGACACCTGCACTTCTCACAGATGTGACCATCAAGGACAGTCTTAGTGACCATCAATGACAGTCTTACTGTCCATAAATTCCCACTTACCTGAGTTGCCATTATTCCTTTCTAGCTTCTCCACTTAACGTTTATAATAATAATCATAATCCTTGCATTTGATATAGCGCTTTTCACATCTTCTAGACGTCTCAAAGCGCTTCATACAAAATATGCTGTAAAGTGAATTGACTGTATATTTGTGGGTGAAATATGGCAGCCAATTGCATACAGCAGTGTCCCACAAACAGTCGTGGATTGAAAATGACCAATTTATTATAGTTTTGTTTTTTGGAAGGATTATTATTAACCGTGTGGAGTAAGGAAACTTGCCCATGGTTTTGCCCTGCCTGGAATTGAACCCATGTATCTCGCTTGAGAGGCGAGTGCTCTAACCACTGAGCTACAGGATGTTTAGGATTATTTCTGTTTATATTTTTAAATTCAAGAGGTTTTACCTTCGCCTTTTTTTCTTTAGTTAATTTTCCCCTTAATTTATTTTACCCATAACAATTTCAGGGTAAGTAGTGATTTTGCAAATGTTGTCCCTTGTTCACACGCCTTACTACTTAACGCCTCCTTAACACCTACTTCCTCAGGAATGTTACCATTGGTCTAGGTGCCCTAGGGAGAGTGTCTAGACCAACCGAAACTCACGTCAGATTTCCAGCATCTGCAGTATTTGCTTTTTGTCCCATTTTTTACACCCGACTTCATTCTCCGATCTCCTGCAGGCCCCGAAAAGGCTCCTGCACTGAGGTCTCCCTGGTTCTGTTTCTCCTCTACAAGGAGTTCGAAACAAGTTCTCACCTACACCTCCTTCCTTCTCTGCACCGAATTCCTACTCTCACCTAATTCCCTACCAGAATTCTCACTCTGTTCCACCTCACTCAGTTCCCTCCTCTCTTTACTGGGTTCTCTGTACATGTACTTCGCTGCTCGCATTTGCTTTCATCTCTCGCTGCTCGTATCTTCCCACTCAGTTTGCCGTGGTTTCTGAGGCTCTGGCACTCGCTGACTCACGACAGTATTGGAATTGAAAGAATTAGTTGAGGTGCAGATCAGCCATGATCTAATTAAATGGCAGAACAGGCTTGAAAGGCTGAATGGCCTACTCCTGTTCCTATGTTCCTAATATGGAATAGTCAGCATCAGCTTTCCATTGATCAGTAGCCTGCAGTGCATCCTGGATGTAATCCCAGAGCATAATATTTGGCTTGTGATCCCCCAAGTGTGTGTAGGAATACTACTGGAGTTCAGCCAGCTAAAAATGCAGTTTGTCATTGAAGGCGCTGTCTGGCAAGCTTCCGGATGCATAGCCAGCAAGGACAATTCTACCCACTAGGGCTTTGTCTTGCAGGGTTTAATTGAAGATAGGGTTTCAGCTTTCTTTAACCTCTGAGCAGTTCTGCCATGTATCTGAGAGGGGGCACTCAACAGTTGGTGAATTTTGGCTGGGTCTTGGAGGTTGTGAACAAATGGGTGTACGGGATAACTGGTCACCTTTCCTGGCGTTGGGGTTAACTTCCACATGTATGCGGATGACACCCAACTCTACCTTTCCTCCTCTACTCTCAACTCCACGACCACCGATGTCCTGACAGCCTGCCTGTCCGACATCGAGTCCTGGACGAGAGACAACTTTCTTCAGCTCAACGTGCAAAAAACCGAGGCCCTCCTGATTGGCTCACGTCAGCGCCTCCGCACCTCAGGCGCTGACACCATCAGCATCCAAGGCTGCACTCTCCACCTCTCAAAGCCAGTCAGGAACCTCGGCGTTTTGTTCGACCCTGAGCTGTCCTTTCTCCCTCACATCCGCACCACAACTGGCACCGCCTTCCATCACCTCCGGAATATCGCCAGATTACGGCACTACCTCACCCCTCACGCTGCTGAAACCCTGGTTCACGCCTTTGTCACCTCAAGGCTGGACTATGGGAACTCTCTCCTCGCCGGCCTTCCCGCCACCTCCCTCCACAAGCTGCAGGTCATTCAGAACTCTGCAGCTCGTGTACTGTCCCGCACCAGGCTTCGGGACCACATCACTCCCACCCTCACTCGCCTCCACTGGCTCCCCATCCCACAGAGGATTGATTTCAAGATCCTCATCCTCACCTACAAGGCCATTCACGGCCTTGCTCCCTCCTACCTCTCCAACCTACTATCCCCCTACCTACCTGCCCGTACCCTCCGTTCCTCTGGCTCCGGTCTGCTCCACGTCCCCCGCCCCAACCGCCCTACTATCGGTGGTCGGGCCTTCAGCCTCTCAGCCCCGAGGCTCTGGAACTCCATCCCCCAGTGCCTTCGCCTTGCTTCCTCCCTTTCCTCCTTCAAGGCCGGTCTCAAAACCTTTCTCTTTGACCGTGCCTTCAGCTCCCCTCTCGACTCTCTTCCTCCTCCTCGCTCCCTCCCTTCCCTCCCCTCACCCTGACCATTTCCCCCTCCTCTCTCCCTCCCTTCCCTCCCCTCACCCTGACCATTTCCCCCCTGCTCGGGTCATGACCCAACTGTGCAGCGCCTTGGGACGTCCTCCTGACGTGAAAGGCGCTCTATAAATGGAATCTTGTTGTTGTTGTTGTTGTTGTTATGTTTATAATTCCTCTAAATAAACAGATTGATGAACAGAGCAAATTGAACATGATGCCTATTCACAATTTGATCAAAATTTGATTTTGATTATTAGTTTTTTTGAGGATTTGCATACTGGGCTTATTTCTTCTGATTTTATTTTTAGCCCAGGGAAGAGATGGTGTTCAGTGGGAAATACAAGACAAGTGAGCAGATTCTACGTCTGACAAATGAGAGATTTGCTGTTCCTGAGATCCTCTTTCACCCATCTGACATTGGTATTCAGGAGATGGGAATTCCGGAAGCAATTGTTCATTCAGTGCAAAATTTACCTGAAGGTATACAGTTTCAGAAGTAGAGCATGTTTTGTTTTTCTGATTTGTTTTATATAAGGAGTCATCGTCTTCATTAACGAAGTATCATGAAAAGTTATTGATGAACGATTTGCTCATTTAAATATCTGTCTGTAGTTTCCTTTGGTTCAAATATGATTTTGTTTATATTTTAAAAAAATTAGAGATGCATCCTCACTTCTACAACAACATCATCTTGACCGGTGGCAACACCCTCCTCCCAGGGTTTAGAGATCGAGTTTATGCTGATGTCAGATCACTTACTCCATGCGAGTGTGATGTATCTGTTTTACTGCCTGAAAAGTAAGTTTATGTAGCAAAATGTTTCATAACATTAAGATCGTTTTGTGCCTTTAGTTTTGAACATACAGTATCCTATTTTTCTCTCCATGTTCACTTTGAGTAGTATCTTATATACAGGTTCAGTCTGTCATTGTCATTTCCAGCTTTGTTGTCTTTCTTTGGAACCAGTAATACTTCTTTGTCACTTATTTATGCAGTGTATTACTGAATATACTGATTTATTATTTGCTCGAACAGGTGAAAGCTTTTAGCTGATGTAAACTGTTCTATCTTGCAACAAGCACTGCAGTAATGACTCACTTGCTAGTTATTCTGAGCAAAAAAGACCACATGAGATCTAATAAGAACTGCTGTAGGGATGTCACCAAGTAGTCCTATTAATACTGAGCTAATCAGTTCATAAGACATTCCCATCATGATTATTCAATCTGTAATCTCCATATTACATTTTATCTGGTGCTTTGACAATCTGACATCCTACTGTACAGGGAAGTGTAGGAAAAGTGTGCCTTCTGGGGAGTTGAGTCACTTTGCTGTGTGTGCCATTTGATGATTTTGCTCTTTGGCGCAGAAGTAACTAAAATTGGGTGATTTGTTCTTGCAGCCCTGTCACACATTCATGGGAAGGTGGAAAATTGCTTTCTGAAAGTTCAGATTTCATGGATATGGTAGTTACCAGAGACGATTATGAAGAGAATGGGCACAGTATCTGTGAGGAGAAATTTGATATTTGAAACATCAACCTAACAATGACTGAAAAATTTGGTGATTGATGTCAAGGTGATGAGAAGTTTGCACGGGATGCAGTGATACCTTGTGAACATGTGGGAGAAGTGGAACACTTTACACTAATGCTGTTCCTGTGCACAAGTTGAATTGTTTATGAAGGTGAAAATATCTTCCTTGCCTTATGTGAAGCTTAAGACTGTGGAATATATTATATGTAAAATAATCTTTTTGTTATGTGTTTATGACGTGGAATGCAATTCAAATTGCTGTTATAGCTTATGTTGGTAGTGTGGCGAAATGATTATGAACTTTAAGAGATCAAGAAAGATCAAAGAAATGTCAACAAGCTATTTTAGTAGTTGATTTTCCAACTGTAAAGGATCTTGTTTGACACAATTTCATTGTTCAGAGTCTGAATCACATCTATAAAAGATTTATTACTTATTATTGTTGTGACTTTATCTGCACTACATTTTAAACTTGCCACTATTTCAAGTGAGAGCAAAGTATGCTTGATCTAAGCAAGCTGAGCCCAGCTCACACTGGGCTGAGGTTCCACCCCCCCCTGCCAATGAGGGGCACAAAAGATGCAGGTGGACGTACTTGCTGATAGAATGGACAACACTGAATACCAATTGGCCTTTTATTGTCAGAGGGCACTGTCCTCCCTGCACATACAATACAAAGTTACACTTAAATGGCACATTTCACATCAAAAGGAGGACCCAAGGCTTAGTTGCACCTGGGGCAAAAGCAATCAAAAGGACTTAAGGTGGACCTTGAAGGAGGCACGTCAAAGGCACTCTAGGGATGGAGCTCCAGAAGGTGGGGACAGATACCCTGAAAGCCTGAACATTAAGGGTAGGACAGACGAGATGAAGCAGGCCGGTTGGTGCCAGCTAAGTGGACGGCCAGGTGTGTAAGTTTTGAGTTCATTGCAGAGGTAGGAGGGTGCAGCAAGACCATTGGCAGGCTGGCTTTCAGCCATTCTTCCCCCCCCCATCCTCTGGAACTCCATCACGTAATCCCTTCACCTCACCCTCTCCCTTACCTCAAGACCCGTCTCTTTGACTGTGCCTTTGGTCACCTTCCTTACCCCTAACCTCCCCAATCCTGACCCCGAGCTCGGGTCCAAAACACTGATTATCCAGCACCTCGGGATGTCCTGCCGATGTGAAAGGTGCCATACAAATGTATTTTTGCTGCTGCTGCTGTTGTTGGAGTGTTTAAAGGTTTGGGTAAGATTCCTAAACTCAGTTTGGTGGGGGAGCCAGTGGATCCAGGCAAGGATGGGGTGATAGGCTTGTGGAACCTAATGCAGGAAACATGAGCTGCAAAATTGTAGTCTGCAGCTAGTGACGTGAAAAAGCAGGTTGAAAAAAAAGCACATTTTCTGCTACTGCACTCTACATTCCTCTACCCCCCAATGATACCAAATTGCACCCTGCTCTTTCTCAGCTGCTGTTGGTTTCTTCCCCATCAGCTGGTGACCGATCAAAGATTAAGACCACAGCTGCAGATGACTTAATACATTTATTTTTGATTTACATAAAGTCCCACATCTGGTCCTCAGTTAGCTGATGTTGGCAGAGTGGCAATAAGAACACAACCATTAGTCTGAGAACCACACCAAGGGTTCAACACGACCCACTGTTAGCCAGAAACCTCTGCTGGAAAGCTGGACTTGGTTTAAAATCTTTATTGATGAACAGTCTGGCAGCACTCATGGAATTTGAAAAGATACATCCCCAGGATTAATTTATCCTTAAAATAAAACAAAAAATCTTTGAGAATGGAGGGAGAAAAATGCCAAGATTCTTTTTAAAAAAAAGTGGATTTGCAGGAGGGCTTGTGATGGAAAGTATGCAATCCACCATTTATTTGTTGAAAGTTAAAACCAAGAAAGGTAGGGTTGTACTGGGCTATTTTGTTTGCATAGTTTTACTTTATTTCCCTCTCAATTTCTTTGGTTTAAAATCTTAATTTATAATCACCTCCACACTAGATGCAGTGATGCATTTTAAAATGAAAGTTTGTGCGTTGACTAATTATGGAAAAAAAATCTAAGAGGATAATGTTCTCCCTGTGATTGGACACAGAGAAATTCCAGTTGTTCCCACACCAGGCCTGGAGAATCAATGTTTAACAGATATTATCTCACTACCCTATTCAATCCGCTCCCACCAGGTAAGCCTTCCATATAATAAATACAAGCTAACCACTATGTGAACTGCATTAAAACCTTTACAATAATTATTTTTTAATGTTATAAATCCTATTATAAATGTCAGGAACTGGATAGATCCTGTTTTTGAGACTGTTAACTCATATAAAGACTCTTTAAAATAAACAAAAAATGTATATTTAAGGTGTCTTTAAAAAGGTAGACATTTTTGGTAGCCAGATGACCCTGAAACTGATTGAGCTCAGCAGATAAGCAATGTTTGGACTAAGACTAATGCTATAGACTTCCTTTTATTTTATTATATTGGTGAGGCTACACTGTGCTGCACATGAGGATATCTTCCAAAATACCCACTAGTTTGCCCACTGTTTAAGGGATGCCAAATCCTGGGGATTGGCCATCAATATTATCTAATAATATAAAAACATGATCAGAAACAGCACTCTCTGCTCTTGTTGTTACCCGTCACAGACTCACTCTGGGCAGATCCTTATCATCACCTTAACTATCTAGAAAGGAATACAATGCATTTTTATTTTAGAAAATTTGACAGTTCCAAACAGATCATTTGGTTGGTGGTAGAATGATGGACGGGAGAGTTAAGAATGTGAACTGCAGTTTTAAGAGAGGGAGGAATAATAAAAACAAATGTAGCAAAATGGTCCAGTGCAAAATGCACATCTAGTGAAGAGCTCTTTCAACTTCATCCATCTTCCCTAACAGATTAAACAGCTTCTGTATTTATGATACTCTTTTTGAGTAACACTTGCTGAAAAATCAAACATGCTATTTTAAAGTAATGTGCATGCCCCATGGTATCGTCAATAGACTGTAGATATGAAATAGAAGGAGCATCTAGCGCTGGAGTGGGATTTCTAAACACAGTAATACTTTGTTCAACAAACAGGTTTAATTGCAATACATAATGTATTTAGAATAAATGTATTAGTTAGTCATTGGCTACAAGATGTTGCTATACTTTCTGGCTCATTTCTGTTTTATTGAATTTGGTCTGCTTAAAAAAAGCAGTGAAATGTAGCTACTCATGTTGTGGAACACATCTCATTTTCTTAATACTTTTTTTAATGAAAGAAAAGTGTAAATTTTAGAATGGTGCACATAAAGGCCTGGAATCAAATTAATACTAGTTTAGTAAATTGTGTAGCATAGCAAGAAAACAATCGCCATGTAGCTTGAAGTTGAATTCATTACAGACAAGTACTGTAGATAGCAACTCTGTGGCTAATTGTCTGCAGAAGTGAATGAACTTCTTTTTCCAGCCCCATTAACATTTCTGCTTTTTCCTCAAGGGCTTTCTGGTTTTCTTCATACTTCGCTTCCAGTTCTGTAGAAGACACAATGATAGTTTGTGATTGCAACTCTTGAATGCTTATGGATCACAAGAAAGGTTTTGGATGAAGAAGCTTCTTTTAGCCAATTTGATTTCAACCTTACAGAACCCAATCTACTGTCTCCCCATTGAAAACACAAACCGTTTCTTAAGAGTCCTGTTGTTTACACTGTTTTTCAGAATTTCATGAACCTTAAACTTTAACTGGGTTAATTTCCATACATATGTGGATGACACTCAATTCTACTTTTCCACCTCCAGCAGTGACCCCCAGTCCCCTGATGTTCTGTCAGCTTGTCTGTCAGACATCAGTAGCTGAATGAGCGCAAATTTCCTGCAGTTAAACATCAACAAGACGGAAGCCATACTCTTTGGCTCCGACCTCCTCAACCTACCTGACCTGTCCTTAAAACTATCCGAACCTATGCGCAATTCCGGTTTCTGACCAGCATCGCTTTCTTCCACCTCCGCCACATTGCCCGTCTCCGACAATACCTCACCCCAAAAGCTGTGGAAACCCTTGTCCATGCCTTTGTCACCTCTCGGCTGGACTACTCTAACGCCCCCTCGCCAGTCTCCCCTCCTCCACTATTCACAGAATCCAGCTCATTCAAAACTCCGTCACCCACATTCTCACCTGCATCAAACTACATGCCCTAATTACTCCAGTTCTTGCCAATCTTCACTGGCTCCCTGCCACAGAGAGGATCGACTTCAGCATCCTCACTCTAGTATTTAAATCCCTCCATTCTATCCTCCCATCTCTCTAACCTCTCTCCCCCAGCAGTACCCGCTGCCTCCTCTCTACTGGGTCTGGCCTCCTCTGTGTCCCCCGAATCCTCCGCTCCACCATCAGCTGCCGTGCCATCAGCCACTACGCCTCGAAACGTTGGAACTCCCCCCAACCCCCCGCAATTGCTTTGCCTCGCCCCCTCCTTCCCCATCTTCAGATCACACCTGAAGACCTTCCTTTTCGACTGCGCCTACGGTCACCCTCCCCCTCCCCCAGGCTCAGCCTTCGGCTCCATCATTCTTAAGCTCTCTGAGACACCGCCCGGCATGGAGGTGCCATATAAGTGCAAGTTGTTGTTGTTGAGCAGAACATTCAACGTTGGGAGTAGCCAAACCCATTACTGCCTTCAGCTGAAGCCAGACGATGCAGCACACGATTAGACAAGAGATGCAGGTCACCAGGAGAAGGAACTCAAGATGTTTTCCCCCTCTCTTACAGCCCACTGAATGTATACATAGCAGACCGAGGTAATACAAGTCTGAAATACAACCAGTCTGAAATACAACGGTGTCCTCCAGGGGTCAGTATTAGGACGATTTTTTAATATATATTAATGACCTGGACTTGGGTATAGAGAGAGCAACACTTTTAAATTCACAGATGACACAAAACTTGGAAATGTAGTAAACAGTGAGGAGGATAGTAGCAGACTGCAGGAGAATATAGACAGACTGCTGACATGGGCAGATGGATTTTATTGCAGAGAAGTGTGAGGTGATGCATTTTGGGAGGAGGATGAGGAGAGGCAATATAAGACAAATGGTACAATTTTAAAAGAGATGCAGAACAGAGAGACCTGGGGGTTCACATACACAAAACTTTGAAAGTGGCAGGACAAGTTGACAAAGCTGTTAAAAAAAACATATGGGATCCTTGACTTTATGGAGGCATAGAATATAAAAGCAAGGAAGTTATGTTGAACCTTTACAAATCGCTGGTTAGGCCTTAGCTGGAGTATTGTCCAATAAAAGTATCCAATACTTTAGGAGGGATCCCAGGGCCTTGGAGAGGGTGCAGAGAAGATTTAGAAGAATGATACTAGGGACTACAATTATGTGGAGCGATGAGAGAGGCTGGGATTATTCTCCTTAGAGCAGAGAAGTTTGAGGGGAGATTTAATAGAGGTGTTCATAATTCTGAAGGGTTTTAATAGAGTAGATAGGGAGAAACTGTTCCCTCTGGTGGATGGGTCGGTAACCAGAAGACACAGATTTAAGATAATTGGCAAAAGAGGAGCCAATTATCTACATAATGCCATTATAGAATCGTACAGCACAAAAAAGGTGTTTGATAAAGTAAAAGACTTGTTAGCAAAATTGAATCCTGTGGGATTAAGGGAAGAGTAGCAGCAAGGATCCAAAATTGGCTGGGGAGACGAAGAGACATTTTTTTTACCCAGATAGTTGTTACGGTCTGGAATGCAATGCGTGAAAGGGTGATGGAAGTAGATTCGATAATAGCTTTCAAAAAAGATGTAGGTAGGCACTTAAAGGGGAAAAAAAATTGCAGGGCTATGGGGTAAGATTGGAGGAGTGGGACTAGTTGGTAGCTCAAAAATTGCCAGCTGGAGATGTCAGTGTTTTATTTGTATACTTTCTGATAACTGCCATGAACATTACAAAATGATGCACATAGATTTTTGTAATAACCAATTGTAATAATCAATTGCACACTTGCTCTACAAATATAAAACAAATACCATTACGGTCTCCAAATAACAGAGTTGGAAGTAGAACACCCAGGAGGCCGAAAGCTGCACCTAAATATCAGATGATTTCATAGAATTATACAGCACAGAAGGAGGCCATTCAGCCCATCGTGTCTGTGCTGGCTCTTTGAAAAGAGCTGTCCAAAGTAATCCCACTCTCCCGCGCTCTCTTCATAGCCCTGCAAACTTATCCTCCCCAAGTTTGAATTTTTAGCTCAGTACCATTAATTAGAATCAATGCTGTTAAAAAATTGCATACATTTAATTCAATTTTAACCAGGTCCCAATTTAGTCAAGATTACATAGAAGTTTATGGATTTTAATAATCCTTGCATTTTCTGCACATGGAGATTGCAAAATTTATGATTTACAGTTAATGCTTATTTATGAATCAGATTTTTCACATTTAATTTTTTGTCCATGGAATTGTTTCATAGTAATGAACTTGGCATGCAGTGTAAGACTCACCCTTTAGTAACTGAAGTTTGCTGTTAGCATGAGATAATAATTCATTAGCTTCATTCTGCAGTTTCTCAGCTCTCTTTCGGGCCTCAGAAGCCATGTCTGATTTTTCTGCAATTGTGTTTTCAACAACAGTATATTTTTCCTTCAGCACAGTATCGAGAACCTTAGGGAGACAACACACCTTGAATTATACTTAACATCTCACAACATACAGGACTTTTTTGGGGGGGGTCAGCCAGTTGTCTTTTTTGGGGGTCAGCCAAAGCTCTGGGATGCTACCCTGCATGAGGGGCGCTATATAAATGCAAGTTATTGTCTCTGACATGCGGAAACCCATCACCATACTTAAGAGTATCCAACTAATCAAAGTTCCATGCATCCCACCTCTACATAGAATTCCAAACGTGTTTATTAGAATGGAATGTGTACTTTATTCCAAGAGGGGGGCATCCTGCTTACCTAATTCTAGAGTGGATTAGACACAAGTTGGCTTGGGAACTCTAGAGTCTGTGTTGAGATACTGCTGGAAGCTAATCCGCTAGAACGGGATAGCCGTCCAGCAAGCTTTCCCACTGCTTGTCCAACTAGGACCACCCTACCCATTTGAGCTTTGGCTTGCAGGGTTAACAGGAGCTGAGTGGAATGACTCCCTGCCCCCAATGACTGGTCTGCCCTCCAAATCCTCCTAACAAGCCAGGCTGGCTGTGCTGTTGTCATCAGCAGTGCCCTGGAATATTGCGAATCCGCCTGGCTCAGGAACCAGACTAGAGACCGTCACAGACAGTTGGCTCAATTCCGACATTCCATTGCCAAGCACGTCACCCTGGAGTTAGTTATAAAGTTTATTATAATACAATACATTTATCTATACTAATAAAGACAAAATGTCTGTCAGTTATCTGACAATCACGCAATACCCAATTGACGTAGAGACATGATTTATAGCTCATTGGAAAGGTCTTGGGCATTTTTTTGGGGGGGAATCTCCTATTGCTAATGAGCTGTATTAAACAATGCTTTAATTAAGCCCCAAAATATGAGGTATGGCATTGTATTCTGCAATTAAGTAGGATAGCACACACCATTCAGAGATACATCTATATTCTGCAGTAAATATTTGGCACCTGTTTCTGGTTGTCATGGGAGCTAGAGTTTTTCCACATGGGACAGATAGAGAGAGAGAGACTGAGAGACAGAGAATATATTATAAAGTGTACTGACTTTGTGTTTTGTGGGAGAGACAAAGAAAGACAGAGAGACACAGACTGAGAAAGAAACACACAGAAACAGACAGAGAGAGAGAGAATGAGAGACAGAGAGAGAGTCTGGGAGAAAGAGAGACAGAGAGAGACTCTGAAAGGGAGAGAGAGAGACGGAGATTGTGAGAGAAAATATATTAAAGAAGTCCTCCCAATGAGTCCTCCCAGCTGAGTATAGATAAAGGTGAAATGTCAGTCTGTATTTTAATCCACATTCCATATTGGATCCTTTCGTTGCAAACGAAGCTGCAACGGTACAGCTAGTGTATTATAATATGGCATTTATTATAAAGTATACCACAAGATGGCACTATAAACTATAGTAACAGATAGCTGCTTAAACATGCCCGCAATCTAATCTGGAGTTGCAGGACACCTATTAACCCCGGATGGTGGGTAAATTGAACAAAGTGCCTGGCCCTGATTCATTTGTATTCTTAGCCGTCTTAAATATATTGGTTGTGTTGGACGAAAATCCGGTTACTCTGGGCAAAATGCCACACTGGTCGCACTGAATGTACTCACTTGGGCTTTCCCTGTGTCCAGCGGCTACATTCAGCCACGAGGGGCTCCTGGATGGAGATGGGAGGAGTCAAATTGCGATTGATAGCAGAGTCCAGCCATTCACAAGCGGCTGGAGTTGGGCTGTCAATCAGTGAGGGGACGAGGAACATGGAAGAACAAGTGATTGATTGACAGCCGAGCCGCTTGTGAATGGGTGGAGCCCAAACATTCATAAGCAGCTTCAGGCTGTCAATCATCTCAGCCCTGCTGCAAATTTGTCTCCTTCCCGTCCACAGGAATAGCTAATGGAGGGAGGAAGAGCTGCCTCTCCTGCTGGGTGGGAAAGTACTGAACTGCATTTTGCAGCCAAACCAAGTAAATATATTTTACTGAATTCTGAGAGAGTAAACAGCTGTCCCCGATGTGTCCATATTTTGCTCCAAAGTAGACAAGTAGCTATTTTATCTATAACTACATTTTAATGCAGTGTTTGGATTAAGTTGAATACTTTGAAGGAAAGTGTTGTTACTAAACACAAGTGACTTGCAAAGTTTAGTCTTTTAAAAGACTTTCCATCGCTTACAGGGCATTATTAATATAATCTGGCCTTTAAATTATATAGGGTAGAAATAGTTTAATTCGCTGAAATATTATTTACATTGTCATTCACATTAAAAATCAGCCAACACCTACCTGTTTGGCCTCATCTGCAGCCTGCTTGACTTTATGTATCGTGCTTCCAATGTTTTCAGCGGAATCAGTGGTATTAGTTGTCTTTTGTTTTAGCTCATCAATATCTTTTTCAATCTGTGCCAAGCGCACATTAGCGTTGTTGAGACTTTGTTCTGAAGCTGCTGTCTCGGATTCAATCTAAGATTAATAGCAAAGAAAGCCATTTTACAAAGGTTTGCAATATGTGGAGTCCAGTAGCGCGTAGCGGTTAGAGCACTCACACCGCAAACAAGAGGACCCCAGGGTTGATTCCCAGGAGAGGCAAAACGTTAGGCATGTTTGCTTACTCCACACGCCTGTTTACCTAGCAGTAAGTAGCTTGCCTAACAGCAACCTGATTGATAGTCGATTGGCAGATCATTTTCCGGGAGAGTAATGATCCTTAAAAAAATAATAATTTGGTCACTCAACCCACGACTGCTGTATCTCAGTCATGCTTTGCCTGCCACGTTTCACCTACAAAATATATAGTCAATTCACTTCACAGGATACTCTGTGATGTGCTTTGAGACGTTTCAACGACATAAGGCGATATATCAAATGCAAGGATTATTATTATGTATGGGATTTCAAGAAAACTGAAATAGAATTTCAATCCACTAGGGATGCTCCTACTCTTACAGCAGCAAAACTACAAGTAAGCAATGTCAGTACTACATGTGGGAGGGATATTATTTTCATTCAATTGATTCTCTCTATGCATTGCATTTAACTACGCATTGGGTAGTCATACTGAATTTGAAAATAAACAATACTTGCTGCTGCTGAACATAATATGATGGAATTTAGCATTAAGTTAGAGAGAGAAGTAGTTAAGTCTGAAGCAAAGGTTTTAAATTTAAGAAGAGCCAATTTTGCTGGTATGAGAGAGGATTTAGCCAAAATAAACTGGGAAATTAGACTTAAGGATTTGACAGTAGACCATTAATGGCAGACAAAGGAGATAGTGCAAAATTCCCAGCGAGCACGTATTCCTTTGAGGAATAAGAATGCCACGGGAAAGGTGGCCCAACCGTGGCTAACTAGAGCAGTTAGAGAAAGTATAAAGTTAAAGGAAGAAGCCTATAAAACAGCTAAGATGAGTAGTAAACCCGAGGATTGGGAGAACTTTAGGGATCAACAAAGGAGAACCCAAAAAGTGATTAAGAGGGAGAAAATGGAATATGAGGGCAAACTAGCGAAGAACATAAAGACAGACTGTAAGAGTTTTTATAAATATATAAAGAGGAAGAGGCTGTCAAAGGTAAATGTGGGTCCGCTACAGGCAGAGACGGGGGGAATTATAGTAGGGGACAAAGACATGGCAGAGTCATTAAACAAGTACTTTGCTACTGTCTTCACCTTAGAAGACACTGAAAACCTACCAAGAATAGAGGGGAACCAAGAAGAAAATGTTAGCGAGCAACTTGGGGGAATTAATATTAGTAAAGAAATGGTTTTAGGTAAATTATCAGGTCTTAAAACTGATAAATCTCCTGGACCTGATGGCCTACATCCTAGGGTTTTAAAAGAGGTGGCTACTGAGATAGTGGATGGCTTGTCTTTGATCTTCCAAAATTCTCTGGATTCTGGAACGGTTCCCATTGATTGGAAGATTGCAAACGTGACACCACTATTTAAGAAGGGTGGGAGAGAAAAGATGGGGAACTATAGACCAGTTAGTCTGACTTCAGTGGTAGGGAAAATTCTTGAGTCCTTAATTAAGGATGTCGTTATGGGATTCCTGGAAGACCATAACAAGATTAGGCAGAGTCAACATGGCTTTACAAAAGGGAAGTCATGCTTAACTAATCTTTTAGAGTTTTTTTAAGATGTATCTAGCAGGTTAGATAGGGGGGAACCGGTAGATGTAGTGTATTTAGATTTTAAAAAGGCATTTGACAAAGTGCCACACAAAAGGCTATTGCACAAGGTTAAGGCCCACGGGATTAATGGGAACATATTAGCATGGATTGAAGAGTGGCTAACGGGTAGAAAACAGAGAGTAGGGATAAACGGGTCATTCTCGAATTGGCAGGATGTGACTAGTGGAGTGCCACAAGGATCAGTGCTTGGGCCTCAGCTATTTACAATTTACATCAATGATCTAGACGAGGACATTGAATGTAACGTATCTAAATTCGCGGATGACACTAAACTCGGTGGGAGAGTAAGCTCTGAGGATGATGCAAAAAGATTGCAACGGGATATAGATAGGCTAGCGGAGTGGGCGAGTAGGTGGCAGATGGAATTTAATGTGGGGAAGTGTGAAGTTATTCACCTAGGTAGAAAAATAGAAAAACAGATTATTTTCTAGAGGGGGAGAGATTAGATAGTGTTAGTGTTCAGAGGGATTTGGGTGTCCTTGTACACCAGTCTCAAAAAGTTAGTTTGCAGGTGCAGCAAGCAACTAAGAAGGCGAACGGCATGTTAGTGTTCATTGCAAAGGTTTAGAGTATAAGAGTAAGGAAGTCTTGCTGCAACTGTATAGGGCCTTGGTGAGACCGCACCTAGAGTATTGTGTGCAGTTTTGGTCTCCTTATTTAAAAAAGGACATACTGGCCTGGAGGGGGTGCAGCGTAGATTCACTCGGCTAGTTCCTGGGATGAGGGGACTGACCTATGAGGATAGGCTGAATAAACTAGGGCTATATTCCCTAGAGTACAGAAGAATTAGGGAAGATCTTATTGAAACATATAAGATTCTTAAAGGGCTGGATAAAGTAGACACTGAGGGTCTGTTTCCCCTGGTAGGAGAATCTATAATTGTATATAGTTGTGGTGAGTTCAATGTTCTGTCCCTGGACATCTTACTCTAAAATATTTTTCAAGTTTCAAAGGACTGGATGTTTCACCTATTTCCTAATAAGTTTTGTATTTAATTCACAGATATTGATAGCTATACCATAACCCAGAGAACAGGGCTGAGTCCACTACACTCAGCAGAGATCTGGGATCAGAACCCCTACCAACAGAGCAGAGACCCAAGGCTGAAACCCCCCTTACACAGAGACGATTCATAACATAACATGTAGGAGCAGGAGTAGGCCATTCGGCCCTTCGAGCCTGCCCCGCCATTCAATCATGGCTGATCTTCTAATCTAACTCCAGCTAATAACCTAACCCTGCCTTATCCCCATATCTCTTAATCTCTTTTGCAATAAGAAATCTATCTATCTCAGTCAAATCCCATCTTCTTGAGATGGGAACTGCAAATAACAATGCTTCAAGTGAAATCAGAGAAGGTCAAAATACAAACAAGGTTGAGGTGAAATACAACGGTAATGGACATTTGAGCCCCTACAGTTGTACAACAAACTTCCAGTAGCCTAGTATTCTGTGAGTTTTGTTTAGATGACATACCGAGGTCAGAAGGTCTTCCGTTCCCTTAATGTCTTCAGCTGCTGTTTTGATGGCTTTTTCTGCTGTGTTCTGGGCCCTCTCTGCCTCCTCCAGAGCTTCCTTTACACGATCTGCTGTGACTTTAACATCTGTTGCTTGGATGCTACAGTAAAAAACCATTACTGAGAGAGTTTAACAAGTGTAACCTCCCACTGAAAAACGATCTTATTCAAAGGTTTGAATTGCGTCAGAATGTGAGAATGTGCAAAAATTTGTAATAGTTATCCGAGTGCAAAGTTTACAGCCTCAAACAAAATCACTGCACATTTCTTTACATCATGGGAATCTCATTGAGTGGCTTCATTCTGTTTTCTGTGGATAGCAATTGCTTGTGTGGACTTTAGTAAAGACTATGTCTGTCTGTCTATATGTGAAATAATTTCTGTGAGGGGAACAAGTAAATACAAAGATAAATGATTATTAAAGGTGAAATTGTGTACTTCAGGGTGGTCCAAACTTTTGGCTGCTACGGGCTGGATTCCCTATTTGAGAAAGGTCAACAATTTGGAGCCCTGTAGCCCAGTGGTTAGAGCACTTGCCTCGCAAGCGAGAGGATCTGGGTTCGATTCCCGGGAGGGCGAAACCTTGGGCAAGTTTCCTTACTCCACACCCTCTATTCACCTAGCAGTAAGTAGGAACCTAGATGTTAGTAAATTGGCGGATCACTTTTCCTAGAATAATAATCCCTTCAAAAATAAATAAAGCAATAATAATGCTGTCACTCAATCCGTAACTGTCTATGGGACACTGCTGTGCCCAACTGGCTGGCGCGTTTTGCCCATAAAATATACAGTGCCTTCACTTTACAGTATATTCTGTGAAGCTCTTTGAGACAACTCAATGGACAACTTGATAAGGTGCTATATCAAATGCAAGGATTATTATTATTTCCTAACATTCCAACTACCACTCCCTCCCTCCCTCCCTGGTGAACATTTTCCTATGGCAGTAGCAGGAGCTGCTGGTTGGTAGGACGCAACGCGGAGAATGGAAATAATACTGGCTGTTGCTGCAGTCTGTCAGGAAGGCAAGCGCGTCTCTTACCAACCACATCCTTAGCAACCGCCCGCCGGCTGCTGCCGCTGCAATTAGTGACCCACGTGGCTGATTGGGACAGACGGTGGGAGGGAACATGGAGGGGGCGTGGCGCAGAGAGAGGAGTGCAGAGAAGGGAGTGCAGAGAGCGGGGGGAAATGGGGAGCGGGGGGGAGAGAGGCGGGGGAGGGGAGAGAGGCAGGGGCGGTGGGGGAGAGGCGGGGGCGAGCGGAGGGGTGAAACGGGCAGGCGGTGGGGGGGGGGGAGACGGAGAGCGGGGGGAGAGAAGGAGAGCGGGGGGGGGAGACGGAGAGTGGGGAGACGGGGTGCAGAGGGGGAGACGGGGGGGGAGACGGGGAGCGGGGGGGGAGACGGGGAGCGGGAGGGGGGGGGAGTGATGCGTCCACATTAATCAGCTTTCACCGTATAGAAAAATACACTCACTTTCCCTGCAATATAAATTCCTCACTTAAATATCATAATTTGTCCCTCTTCGGGAATTGCTGTATATTTTTTTCAAAGGAAAAAAAGTTAACACATTAGCTACAATTATTTTTGTTGCAGACAAGGATTGAATTTTCCAACTCTGACTGAGGTACAATAAGTGAATAAATGCAACTAATGAATACAAACAAGTTAGTTAAACAAGGAATAGCTAATACCTCGATTTCCTTGCTTCGTCAAGCAGGGCTTCTGCCCGTTCAATGTCTGCTGCGCTCTGGTTTAAGATAACCTCCACCTCTGAAAGACTCTGGACACGGACGCGAATATCATTGGTCAGATCCTGAAGCTGTTGAGGACTGGTTGGCATTTCTAATTGCAATACTTCATTGGCAACGGCCTCAATGCTCTCCAGATCAGCACCGTCCTCTGCAGAGAAAAAGAACTTCCTATCTGTCAATTATCTAAAAAATGGCGCTTTGGATTCTTAGGACCCAAATTAACACAAGACTAATGTAATAAACTAGTACACGATTACACAGAGTAACTAATTTAGTACAGTTACGAAAGCAAGAATTAACTAGATCAATGTTCATCAATGACAAGTCCAAAATTTAGCTCTGATCCATGATGCCCTCATATTCAGTTGTATCTCTTTACGTTGAAAGGCTCATTTACTGATGATTAAGAATATGTCAGCCACTCTTTGATACCAAGCAGGTTGTGATAAAACTGATCACATAATTTCCCGTTTGGAAGTATAGCCGTAGCAGAACATCAAGAAAAATCTGAATTATTCACATCAAAATGATTTTTGTTAATTACACAATGAATAAACTCCCTTCAATATAGAATAACAAAAAATTGCAATCTTACGAGTGAGAAATTCCCTGATTTGTTTGATAAGATTCCTCAAATCTTCATTGCTCTTGTCCACTTTCTCTTTTGTATTATTGGTTTTTAACAGGACCTCTTGAGCATTTAGTTTTGCTTCATCAGCTTTAACTTTAGCTTCTGCAACCTGGAGGGATAGAATAATAATAATAAGAAGAAGAATATGACTAATTTAATGACAAATCAAGTTGTCTTCTTATTCAAAGACTGAAGATGATTATACCAAATGTAGACCGCTTACTATTCCCTCTCTTTGGTCCAACCTCCAAACAACAACAAAATTGCATTTGGAAAGTGCCTTTCTCATCGGGAGGACATCCCAAGGCACTGGACAGACAGAGTTACGGATCCGAGCTGGGGGTTGGGGTTGGGGAGGGTGGGAAGCAGAGAGATCGAAAGCATGGTCGAAGAGGAGGGTCTTGAGATGGGTCTTGAAGGTGGCAAGGGAGGTGGCGAGGCAGGGCAACTGCAGAATGGAGTTCCAGAGGGTGGGGGCAGAGTGGCAGAAGGCTCCCCTGCCAATAGTGGGGCGAGCAAGGCGGGGGACGTGAAGCTGGAGTCCACTGAGCGGAGGGAGCGAGCAGGATGGTAGGGGCTCAGGAGGTCACAGTGGTAGGGGGGAACAAGACTGTGGAGGTCTTTAAACATCATCATACCAAAGTACACTCATAGAAAAAACTGTGGGAGACAAATGAAGACTGGACAATGGATATGCAGAGTTTGGTGCATATGGTGGAAGTTTGAATGATAAACCTTATGCAAATTTGATTTGCACTGGGACTTACCATTTTAGAAAGTAGATCCACTTCTGCTAAAGCACTTAAGATCTGAGTGTCAAAATCCATGGAATTCTGCCAGGCTTCATGGGCCAACGTTAGCAGTCCATCACAACCAGTTCCTCCACACTTCCTAGTGCCATCATCAGCTCGGCAATTTGCACCTCCACACTGTGTCTCAGTACAAGAAACCCCTGTTGGACTTCCACAAATCTGGACAAAACAATCCATTATTATAGTCAGTTTAAACAACTTATATACTGCAAAAAGTGGATTTTTTTCTGTAAAGAGATGACTATACCTGTGACTTGGGCACAAGATTTTTAAAATTAAGGTAAAAAGCAAATGGAGGTCTCCACTAATGACCTAATACTAGAGAAGACAAAGTCAGGAGTGACAAGAGTCGGCCTAAAAATTAACTTAAAACTATATTTTTTTCCCTTTTCAATGGTTTTCATCTGAGACCCACAATCCCTTCTACACAACTGAGTTATGGGATCTTTAACATCACCTGAACAGGTAGCCAGAATCTTAGTTGAATGTCCCAACCGATGGCACAAGCAGCAATAAGAACTTAAGAATATGATTAGGCAGAGTCAACATGGCTTTACAAAAGGGAAGTCATGCTTAACAAATCTTTTAGAGTTCTTTGAGGATGTAACTAGCAGGTTAGATGGGGGAAACAGTAGATGTAGTGTATTTAGATTTTCAGAGGGCATTTGACAAGGTGCCACATAAAAGGCTGCTACACAAGATTAGGGTCCATGGAATTAAAGGGAATATATTAGCATGGATCGAAGAGTGGCTAATGAGAAGAAATCAGAGAATAGGGATAAACTGGTCCTTCTCAGACTGGCAGGATGTGACTAGTGGAATGCCACAAGGATCAGTCCTTGGGCCTCAACTATTTACAATCTATATCAATCATTTAGACGGGGACATAGAACTTAAAATATCTAAATTTGAGGATGATACCAAGTTAGGTGGGAGAGCAAGCTCTGAGGATGACACAAAAAGATTGCAAAGCACTCTGAGACGCCGTCCGGCATGGAGGGCACTATATAAATCCAAGTTGTTGTTGTTGCTGCAAAGGGATATAGATAAGCTAGGTGAGTGGGCAAGAAGGTGGCAGATGGAATATAATGTGAGGAAGTGTGAAGTTTTTCACCTAGGTAGTGTTAGTGTTCAGAAGGATTTGGGTGTCCTTGTATACCAGTCACTAAACGTTAGTTTGCAGGTACAGCAAGCAACTAGGAAGGCTAATGGCATGTAGGCGATTATTGCAAAAGGGTTAGAGTACAAGAGTAGGGATGTGTTGCTGCAGTTGTATAAGGCCTTGGTGAGACCGCACCTAGAATATTGTGTACAGTTTGGGTCTCCTTATTTAAGAAAGGACATACTCGCCTTAGAGGGGGTGCAGCGTAGATTCACTAGGTTAGTTCCTGGGATGAGGTGTTTGACCTATGAGGATAGGTTGAGTATACTAGGCCTATATTCTCTAGAACATAGAAGAATTAGGGGTGATCTTACAGAAACATATAAGATTCTTATGGGGCTTGACAGAGTAGACAGTGTGAGACTGTTTCCCCTGGTAGGAGAATCTATAACCAGGGTTCACAGTCTTACGATTAAGGATCAGCCTTTTCGACTAGAGTTGAGGAAACACTTCTTCACTCAGAGGGTAGTGAACTTATGGAATTCTCTACCCCAGAAGGGTATGGATGCTCAGTCCTTGAACATATTCAAGATTGAGATCGATAGATTTCTAAAGGATAGAGGGATTAAGGGATATGGGGATAAGGCGGGCAGATGGAGTTAGGTTAGAAGATCAGCCATGATCTCATTGAATGGTGGGGCAGGCTTGAGGAGCCGAATGGCCTACTCCTGCTCCTAATTCCTATAAGAAGTGCTAGACAAAAAAGACCAAGGTCCATCTGATTCACCTTCCATCTTCCTGGCAGTCCATTGACATATGTCCCAAACTACCTATGTACAAACTACCCATAATGTGATTTTCTAAAAATAAAAAAACTGTCTATTCTGTGTTTGAAAGAATCAACATTCCCTGCTTCAACCATCTCCACTCAGTGCAGCACTTGCCCCGTATCAGACTGGAGTGTTAGCCTTAGACTATGAATTCAAAGTCTCTTTTGACTCATAGGTTGGGCCAATAGAGAAGTGTGGGCGCACGTTTTCTGTACAATCTGCTACAAATGCTCTCCTCTGCTACAAACACCCTGTACACACAGTGTGCTAGGCCCTGGGCCTCAGCGCTGTTTACCCGACGCTACACTTCACTCCACTCAGAAGCACAGCTGTTATAATTGTCTGTCTCTCTCTCACTCTCTCTCTGTCTGTGTGTGTGAGTCTCTCATTCTCTGTGAGTGTGTGTGATGTCTTCCTATGTGTCCGTGAGCGCGTGCCTCTCACTCCCTGTGTCCGCGAGCGCGTGCCTCTCACTCCGTGTCCGCGAGCCTCTCACTCTGTGTCCGCGAGCGCGTGCCTCTCAAGCTCTGTGTCCGCGAGTGTGTGTGTGTCCATGAGTGCGTGTGCGAGCTGTGTGTGTGTGTCCATGAGTACGTGTGCAAGCTGTATGTGTGTCCATGAGTGCGTGTGCGAGCTGTGTGTGTCCATGAGTGCGTGTGCGAGCTGTGTGTGTCCATGAGTGCGTGTGCGAGCTGTGTGTGTGTCCATGAATGTGTGTGCGAGCTGTGTGTGTGTCCATGAGTGCGGGTGCGAGCTGTGTGTGTGTCCATGAGTGCGGGTGCGAGCTATGTGTGTGTCCGTGAGGGGCTGCGCTGGTGTCTCCCCCCCCAAAAAAAAGGGCCACCCAGTTTTTGTTAAAAAAACAAATTAATAATTTGTTTTGCAACACTAATATGTGTTATTTCCTCATGTTTCATTTTTATGAATGCAGTGAAAAAATGTAGGTTGGCAGTAAAATGTACCTCAATAGCACCAATCATGTCCCACAATTTTCCGCAAAATTTGACAAATCTCCCATGCAATTTTTGGCAAATATTTCCACACCCTTCTAATGGCCCAGGTCATACTTACTTAAGATTGCTACAAACTTTGACTAACTGACACTTAATAAGGCTATATTTAGATATCAATACTGCAAAGCATCATTCTACAATGCCACTAAGATACCCTATTTTTGAGTGGACTATATAAAAAAAATCCAATTGTACCAGTTTGCATCCAACTCTGAATAAAGGAAAATTGCACCTTTTCATTTAATGGTGAGAGGTCTAAGCTTTGCAATTTCCCAGCGAGTTCTTCTAGACTACTTGAATGTTCTTTTTGTTGCTCCTCAAAGTGATCCTTATGTTCTGAAATCATATCCTCCACCGTTTGTCGAACAGCAGTGGATTCCAGCACCAAATTATCCGGATCAGTGGTAGAAGCATTTACTTTCTCTTCAGCCTCAAGAGACTGTTCAAAGAATTTCTGAACACTGTCCAAAGCTCCTGCAACAGCATGAAAATATGAATTTACGCATTAATTCCATTAGTTTAGGGTATCTATAAGATATAAAAAATGAAATATGAAGTTCTCCTAATAGAAACGGCAGCATTGTCTTGGTCTTACGAAGATTGTTTTATTATATCTGGACCCCATCTCCACATGAACTAAGACAGCTCTGGTGGTTATTATAATGTGGGCCATATACCATCCTGTGACAATTCAATTAGGAGCTGTGAACTGACTTGCGGATCTGGAGCTGCCTGACATGTGAACATTTATTATCTGCTTAGCACTTTTGTTTACTCGTTGGACTACATTATTTCAGGGTTTGGAGCTACCTTAAAAATCCTTGCATTTGATACAGTAGCTTATTGCGATATTGAAACATTTAAGTGCTGCACATGATTTACTGTGAAGTGTAGTGATTGCATTCTTGGCAAACACATCAGCTAATTTGCACACAGCAATGACCAATAGTCTGCAGCGTTTTGGCTAGGACACCAGAATAAACTTGCTTCTCTTTATAAAACATGCCATGGGATCTTTTCCTGAACAGGAAAATGGGATCTCAGTTTATCAGTTCATCCAAAGGACAGTGACAATGCAACACACTGGAGTTTCAGCGTAAACAACAAGTTCAAACAAGAAGATTGCATTTATAGAGCGCCTTTCACGTCGGGAGGACGTCCCAAGGCACTGGACAGTTGGGTCAGGACCCGAGGAGGGGGGAAATGGTCAGGGTGAGGGGAGGGAAGGGAGGGAGCGAGGAGGGGGTAGAGAGTCGAGAGGGGAGCTGAAGGCACGGTCAAAGAGAAAGGTCTTGAGACCGGCCTTGAAGGAGGAAAGGGAGGAAACAAGGCGAAGGCACTGGGGGATGGAGTTCCAGAGCCGAGGGGCTGAGAGGCTGAAGGCCCGGCCACCGATGGTAGGGCGGTTGGGGCGGGGGATGTGGAGCAGACCGGAGCCAGAGGAATGGACGTAGGGGGATAGTAGGTCGGAGAGGTAGGAGGAAGCAAGGCCGTGAATAGCCTTGTAGGTGAGGAATTTGAATCTTGAATTCAATCCTCTGGGGGATGGGGAGCCAGTGGAGGCGAGCGAGGGTGGGAGTGATGTGGTCGCAAAGCCTGGTGCGGGACAGTACGCGAGCTGCAGAGTCCTGATGTGTGACTTGATCTCACAATCTTCTGATTCAGAGGAACAAAAGAGTGAGTAATGCTGGCATACCGTCTCATTAAGAAAGAATCACAAATGAGGCCTCCTTCTGGTTGGTTACAAGTAACACTTGTCAACCTACAGGGACTCTGTTCCAGAATGGCAGAAGTGGAGTTTGTTGTGTGAAAGGAGTCCTTATAAATGAATCTTTTTCAAATTTCCAATTATAACCGCATTAACTTCAAGTTTGTTAGCGACAGACATTTTAATCATTTGCCTTTCAAAGACAGTCAGGTACTCACCATGGACATCAGAGTTTTTAACGTACTCAAATGTTCAGCAAGCTCATTCACCACTGTTTTTAAACTCTCTGCATCAATTTGAAGGGTATTCAGTTCTTTGTCAGTTATATTATTTTGTTCCTCAGTTGCTGCGATTTCAGATTCAATCCAATTCACCTTGTCTGTAAGATCCTTGATTTTCTTCCTGTAATCAACAGCTTAAAGGCTTAATCTAGTTTAATACAAGAGAGGGACAGCTATACAGCTGCCAAAACATATGGAAATCCAGCAGCATTGTTCTCAACACACAGTTGAAAAAAATCCTGCAATAAGAAACTGGGTCAATGCATTTGCCTGGTTTTGACATATTTATTTTGTTTCAGTGCTAAATGATACAACATTGGATAGTCAGTTTTACATCCAGAGCTGGAGTAGAATGCTAAAGTACTGAAGGATCTGAGCAGCCTCTTGCCAGTCTCTTGAGCTGTTTCAAGGAATAGCCCTCACAATCTGAACTCAATTTCTTAGCTGATTTTAGGTCTTCTTTCATAACACAGATCTGAACTATCTATGTAGAGTACAAAACTGAAGAAAGGCAACATATCTCAAGAAAGTTTTCCAGGTTCACAATAAGTAATTAGACATAGCATCCAGACAAAGGCTGGTCATTCTCATATCAGGAGGCCATATATCTAAAACAAGGAGGAGAAGGAGGAATAAACAAATAATCCTTCCATTTGATATAGCGCTTTTCACATCTTCTCGACGTCTCAAAGCGCTTCACAGAATAGACTGTAAAGTGAATTGACTGTATATTTGTGGACAAAAAACGCGGCAGTCAATTGCACACAGCAGTGTCCCACAAACAGTCGTGGATTGAAAATGACCAATTTTTTTTTTTTTTTGAGCAATTATTATCAGGCGTGTTGAGTAAGGAAACTTGCCCAAGGTTTCGCCCTGCCGGGAATTGAACCCAGGTTTCTCGCTTGCAAAGCGAGTGCTCTAACCACTGAGCTACAGGACTTGAGGAAGAGAGAAAGATGGACTTCCACAGCTTTGGTGCAAATCACCTATGCTAGAATAAAGGAAAGGTTTCTTTTCATCATGATAGTTCTTAAGAATTCAAGTTGTCATTATCAATGTAATTCTCTTCAGGATCATCACCTAATCAGGCTCCGCCACTGTTAAGTGCTCTGAGACGCTACCCTGCGTGGAGGGCACTTTATAAGTGCAAGTTGTTTGTTGTATTAGCAAGAATGGTGATCCAGACCATCATACTGTCACAAAAAGCTTAACCAGGTTTTGGTACAGATAATGATTGAGAGAGGAAGTTAATCTGCTTTCAGTTTACTTACTTTGCTTCTTCCAGAAGGTCCCCAATATTGTTAAGTGGTTCAGTGGCTGGATTTTGAGTGAGCAGGTTTTGAATATCATTAACCTTTTTCTGTATGGTGTTAACGGTTTCTTGGTAGGGACCAACAATGCCGCTGGATTTGATTGTGTTGGCCTGTGCAACAAGTTGAGTTGTCCGAGTGGACAGTTCTTGAATACTTTTATCCCAGACACTGAAGCAAGCATGACATGATTCACAATGAGGGAATGTACCAGAATACCCTCGTGCACACTGATTGCATCGAGCACCTGCGATCCCTTCCCGACAGATGCACTGACCAGTTGTTTGGTTACACTGCTGTGTTTCAATTCCATCTTCATTGCAGTCACACTCTAAAAAAAAAAGTGACTAAATAAATGTATACACAATGTAAAGGAAATTAACTTACTCAAAAGTACCCACTGTGGGCAAGTTTTATTTTTATGGACCAAACAATCACATTTCAAAAGTAAAATTTAGAGATACTGAAATCCTGAAACGTTTACTAATTTGACAATTTGATGACCAAACTCTTGTGAGGATTCTGTTTAACATTGTTCAATAGTTCAGTAAATAAAAAAAATGCCAAATTACTCTATAATCCAGTTATATTAATGTTCATTTAATAAATGTTAAAACTTACAATTACTTGCTCTTCATAATGGTTAGACAGTTTGAGAAATTAACTTTCATGGAAGTACCATTTAAATGCAAGTTGTTATCCTAAACAATTAAATTAATTTATAGATTCGGAAACGGTACTCATGTAATTAATCAACACTTTGTTCAGAAAAGTATTTACACGTAATACAGCATTTGTGTTTTGTAGGAAAGGCATTAGCTCCCTGATGGCCCACAGTTCAGTGAAGTATGAAAACAACATCAGTAGAAGTCACAGGTTCAAATTCTCTTTTTTGCTCAATTTTGGTTTCTTCAAGCGGGGGGGGGGGGGGGGGGGAAGAGCCCTATAGCTCAGCGGTTAAAGCACTCACTTTGCAAGTGAGAGACCTGAGTTTAATTCCAGGCAGGTCAGGGCGAAACCTTGGGCAAGTTTCCTTACTCCACACGCCTAATAATAATCCCTCCAAAACCGAAAACAATAATAAATTGATCATTTTCCATCTACGACTGTTTGTGGGACATTGCTGTGGGCAATTGGCTGCCGCGTTTGCCCACAGATATAGTCAATTCACTTTACAGTGTGTTTTGTGAAGCGCTTTGGGACGTCCTCCCGATGCGAAAAGCGCTATATCAAATGCAAGGATTGTTATTATTATTATTATTAATGGCTCAAAACAGCCACTATCACCTCCACCTTGAAGAAACCTTCCCTTGACCCAACACAGCTATCCAGCTACCGGCTCATCTCAAACCTCCCTTTCCTATCCAAGGTTCTTGAGAGAGCTGTTGGGTCCCAGCTTCGCACTTTCCTCTCCTACCACTCCCTCCATGAAACTCTCCAATCGTGTTTCTGTGCTGCCCACAGCACGGAAACTGCTCTGGTCAAGGGCTCCCTCTGCTTCCTCATCCTCTCTGCTGCCTTTGACACCGTGGACCATTCAATCCTCCTCCACCATCTCTCCTCCCAATCTTCAAAGTTCTGTCCTTGACTGGTTTAGGTCCTACCTCTCACACCGCCTCCACTTCGTCGCAGCAAACGGCTTCTCCTCCAGCCCCTGCACTGTCTCGTGTGGTGTTCCTCAGGGCTCTGTCCTCGGTCCCCTCCTCTTCACCCTCTACATGCTCCCCCTTGGTGACATCATCCACAGACATGGGGTAAATTTCCACATATATGCGGAAAACACCCAACTCTATCTCTCTGCCTCCACTCTGAACTCCAGGACTACAGGCGTCCTGACCGACATCCAACATCCTGTCCAACATCAAGTCCTGGACGAGGGACAACTTTCTCCAACTTAACGTCAGCAAGACCGAGGCCTTCCTGCTTGGCTCACGCCAGCGCCTCTGCACCTCGGATGCTGGCAGCATCAGCATCCACGGCTGCACACTCAACCTCACTAAGCCAGTCAGGAACCTGGGTGTCTTGTTTGACCGTGAACCGTCCTTTCTCCCCCACATCCACGCCATGACCGGCACTGCCTACCACCACCTCTGTAATAGGAGTCCTGTAGCTCAGTGGTTAGAGCACTCGCTTTGCAAGTGAGAGACCTGAGTTCAATTCCAGGCAGGGCGAAACCTTGGGCAAGTTTCCTTACTCCACACGCCTAATAATAATCCCTCCAAAAAAAAAAAAAAACAATAATTAAATTGGTCATTTTCAATCTACGACTGTTTGTGGGACATTGCTGTGCGCAATTGGCTGCCGCGTTCGCCCACAAATATACAGTCAATTCACTTTACAGTGTGTTCTGTGAAGCGCTTTGGGACGTCCTCCCGACGTGAAAAGCGCTATACCAAATGCAAGGATTATTATTATTATTATTATTATTATTAATATTGCCAGACTCCGCCACTGCCTCACCCACACATTCGTCACCTCAAGGCTTGATTACAGAAACTCCCTCCTCATCGGCCTTCCCAACTCTTCCTTTCACAAGCTGCAGATCATCCAAAACTCTGCAGCTCATGTGCTCTCGCACACCAGGCTCCGTGACCCCATCACTCCCACCCTCGCCTGACTCCACTGGCTCCCCATCCCCCAGAGGATCAAGTTCAAGATCCACGTCCTCACTTTTAAGGCCATCCATGGCCTTGCCCCTCCGACCTCTCTTACCTGCTGACTCCCTACCAACCTGCCCACTCTCTCCGTTAATCAGGCTTTGGTCTGCTCCATGTCTCCTGCCCGACCCGCCTTACCATTGGTGGCCGGGCTTTCAGCCTCTCTGCCCCCACACTCTGGAACTCCATCCCACGGTCCCTTCGCCTCGCTTCCTCCCTTGCATCCTTCAAGGCCGGTCTCAAGACCCTTCTCTTCGATCGTGCCTTTGGTCACCCACCCACCTCTCTGCCTTCCCTCACTCCTACACCACCCCTCCCCCACGCTTGGGACCCCGACACCTGACTGTTCAGTGCTTTGGGACGTCCTCCTGACGTGAAAGGTGCTCTATAAATGTAATTTTGTTGTTGTTTTTACCTCAGGGCAGCAATTGGGCTGCTGGAATTGCCCTAGTATTGTAGAATCATAAAGCACAGAAGGAGACCATTCGGCCCATCGTATCTGTGCCAGCTCTTTGAAAATAGCCATCAATTTCAATCCCACTCCCCCGCGTGCTCCCCAAGGACCTGCAACTTGCTCCCACTTGTCCTTGGAGTTAAGCAACGGAAATAAAAGAGTTCTAGATACTGATCAGTACCTAATACTCTGGGTGGAATGTGTGCATGTTGACATTTTGAGAACACAAATCAGGCCCTCCATGATTTAATAGATGCATACTGGTGACACTGGCTCATAAAAACAGACTCGTGGACAAGACACTGGAAGTCTGACGATGCCCATGGATCTGAATTTTAGCATCATTTAGTAAATAAACATTCAGGAGAGGAGAAGAAAATCACACTGTTTTTCAAAATGATTTTAGTTTTTCTTGATAGGGTGTACAAGAACAGGTGAGTGCGGCAACGGGAGGGGCAGGTAGGGCCGAGATCTCAGGGATCGGGGCTAGTTGTGGGCTCCGGTGGGTGAGTGGAGATTGGCGGGAGTTGCGGCCATCAGTGGGTTCAGGCGCGGAGACACCATTTCAAAATCTCCAACCTGAACCAAAGGCCGAGATATCCCTGTGTGAAGTCACCAGTTTTGAATGACTGGAATCTGATCTAGTTTAGTGTTTATTATTACCTCCTTCCCTTCCTCTCTCTTTTCCCTATAAACTTCACAATGAGTCCTCTGTCCCCTCCCCCCCCTCTGTGCTGTCTCCACGCGCCGTGGGCCGACTATGCCCCTCTAATTCCTTTGCCTTCAGTCTCGGCGTGCGCATTTTGGATACAGCCCCCGACCCGCGTTCCCCAAAAGGAATTTCTCTTTCTCGCTTTCTCCCCACCCAACCCACCTCCATCTCCTACTGCCCCTGGAAAAAAATCTCCTTGTCCTCTATCCCACATCACGCCCATTCTGTCCTCCTCTCGCTCTGTTCTCCTTGCCTCCTATTCCCATTTGACCATCTCACAGCCTCCCTCTGCTCCAGACTGGGAATCCTCCATCGGGCCCATCATGGCACTCGCCGTTGGCTGTCCAGGAGCAGCCTCGCTAATTGCCCCACCCCCCACTATTGCTGCAAAGCCCACCAGGCCCACAGGTAAACACTCCTCCCCCATCCACATTCCCACGCCCCCACCAATCCTCCCACTCCCTCTCCCAGCTCACACATTTCTCTTCCACCTGTCGCCTCCGCATTGACCTACAAAGTGCCCGCTCCCTTTCCAACAAAGCCCTCGCCATCAACTACCTCAGAAAACTGGAACACCTTCCCCCTAACTGAGGCCACACCACCCGGCTATACCTTCCACCATACACCATGACCTAACCGCCTTGGTGGTGGTGTGGCTCATCTCCAGGTCCTCACTTGACCTATCCCCTTACTCTTCTGGTTCCTTTCCCTCCTTCAAGCACCATACCCTCTACCATCCCTCCAATCTTTCCCTCAAAATTCTCTTTGTTTATCATCCCCTGAACTCTACCCCATCTTCCCATCATCTGACAGCTCCACCCTTCTAGCTTCCCTCTGACTCAGTTGTGAATGCCTCCTCGTCATAGGCAAATCAATTTGGACTTCATCCCCTCTTGCTCTATCTCTGCTGACTTCTCCCCTCTCTTCTTCCAACCTCTCCCTTCACATCCACTCTGCCACCCATGTCCATGGCCACCTGCTTGACCAGGTGATCACCCCGGGCCCCAGCGTCTCGGACCTCACCATCACTGACAAAGCCAGCTCGGACCATTACTTCATCTCCCTTAACTCCTCAATCCCACTCCCCATCCTCAAACAACCCACCCCACCTCCATCTCCTACCGCCCATGGAAAAAAAATCTCCCTGCACTCCCTCTCCACTGCCCTGGAGTCATCTGAACTCCTCCCCCTCTGGGCTTCCTCCCGCACCAACTTATCCTCTTCGGTCACTCTCCTCCACAACTTTCTTTCCATCACTCTTGATGCCCTTCCCCTCCTCACCTCCTGAACCTCCTCCTACTGACGCAATTCACCCTGATAGACCAGCCACCTCCACTCCCTCAAGGCACAGGTGTGTGCTTCCTGGCTCAAACCTAATTTAACGGTCCATCGGCAGGTCTGCCTGGACCACATCAAAACTTACCACTCCGCCCTCACCTGTGCTAGATTATCTTGGAGGCCAAGGACAACCCTAGGCCGCTCTGCTCCCATCCAGATCCTCGGCCCAC